ATGCTCGGGTTCCTCATGATTTGTCATTTTCTCCTCCCATAGGGATGGGGATGCAAGAAGGTTGGGGAGGCACTCAATTCCTTTCTGTTATACATCTCTTGGTTCATTCAGCCTGTTTGTACTGGAGGAAGAGGAGAATTAGTGGGACAGAAAGAGGAGAAAGCAAAGGGTTTGGGGATGCTAGTCTCCCTAACACTGTAAGAGCAGATGCATTCCTGCAGTGGGTTTTTCTGAAGACACAGGATAAATAAACATGCTGAGACAGAATATAAAATATTTTGCAAGTTAAGGTTTCTGAAGACATAGGACAGACAGACAGACAGACATGGCAAGGCCGCCACCCTGTGCATGGTTAGACCCTTCAATTTTGACCTTGCCATGGTCACTGGGGAATACTGGGAGCTCTAAGGCTCTTTTTGTGTCAAAACATGCCTAGGATGGTATCCTAAACAGCTCTTGCTTCCCCACTTCTTTTTTCTTGGATGGAAGGGAACCCAAGTATCCTGAATCCCCACCCACTTTGTCAGTGTCAAATGTTAGCCCTTGCCAAGAAGCAGCTGACAGACAAGTCAGGGATACCGCGCTCTCTTTCCCGGATGATTTCTGAGTCATTCTCCCCACATTTGGCCGCGTTTCAGGGCCCCCACGACATTGGCGAATGTGCCCTTTCTCTGGGTAATTCGGTGCTCCATCATGTCTCCATGCCCTTGATCGCTGCCGGCTGCAGGAAATGACAGGCTCCCTGCGATACGAAGCCTGCAGATCTGTGCTTCTCATGACTCCATTATCCTCTTTCATTAATTAGGGGTATTTAGCATCAAACGGTGTTACAGTCCTGTGTCTCTGGTACTTTCTGAAACAGACCAACAGCCCCAGGACACAGGGAAGCAAACCTGATTAGGAAAGCTCTCTTCTAACCAGGCAACTCTGATGTTTTATTCCTGATAGTGCTCTGTACATGCTCAGGGGTATTTTTTTCCACACAGTAGCCTTTGAGACTGAGATATGTCAGAAAGTAAACCCTGCCTGCATTCATTCTTTCACCATGTTCACAAATTCCCAGTGCAGTGAATGTGTAATATCACAAATGAAAAAGTGACTGTGAGTTTTGCTGAGTTAAGGTTTGAACCCAGATAATTCAGGGTCAGCTTATGATGCCACCTTTTAATAGACTGTGCTTTTAACAACTATAAAGCAAGTAGAAATCAACAGGGGCAGCTTTTCATATCTGTATCAGGAAACAGATTAACCTGCTGATTTTTCACTCTAAAGATACAGACAACAGGAATCCAGCTGTGTTAACCTGATTGTGGCTTGTTAACCACAAACAACCCATAAAGAGAAGCTATGCTTGGTTGCTGGGTCATAAACTAGATTTCTCACCATGGTTTATTATCTTGACTGGGTTCAGACAACACAACCCATGTTGCAGCAACAACTCCCTGATAACCCATTCTCTATCCATACACAGTATGGGATGAGCGAGGGTTATTTTTAGTCTTTGCACAGGAAGGCATACAAACAGAGCTTGGTTGTTGACATGGCCACTAATCACCTTGCCTGTAGGAGGAAATTTTAAAGAGAATGGTAACCTTGCAGCTAAGGAGAGCATCAAGTTGGTGCTGTATTTTCGGGAAAGCACAGTTTTAAAGTGCAGTGCTATCGTGGTAATATAAATAAACACTTTTCCAGTTACAGTGTGTCGCTCCTCCAGGTCTAGTGTAATGGAGGACAGAGAAGGTAAGCTAGGGCTAAGGGTGTGTAATGGAGGGGACATGGAATTAAGGGAGATTGTGTGTCATTGCACATTGTTGTATACGGCTTCAGGCCTCAACATTTTGGCCATACTGAGCAAACGGGATCATGAACTGAATCTCTGAGGCAGAAAATGGAAGACACTAACCCAGATAACTGAACAATTATTTTGATTGCATTGTGTTTGTGTCCCACCCAGGACTGCTTACATTGCTCCATTTTACCCTCACAACAGCCTTGTGAGGTTGGACAGGACTGGCCCAAAGTGGTCCAGGGAGCTTCATGGGAGCCGGGACGAGGACCCGGGTCTCCCAAATCCTCAGTCCGACACTCAGCACCACACTGTACAAACTCTCATTGGTGCCTTTTACGGGGCCCAAAATGGCTGCCTCATGCGCAAGCTTGTGTGCCTCTTACTACAAGGGTGGGTTGAAGTGAGCGAATAAACCTTCGCGGGGGAAGTGGGCAGGTGAGCCAAGGAAAGTGCCAGGTGAATCATGACTGTTGTGAGTGAAATGGTTTTTGGCCTTTCCCTTTCTTTAGTCCTTGACGCTCCTCACAAAGCAGCCTTTCAAAGACAGAACGAGAGTGGAAGCCGGAAGCCTTCCCCTCACGCGCGCGCATTTCATACGCTGACTGAAAATGCGCCGGAAAAGTGCAGAGCAGGCCCAGGAGGGGAAACCCGTCGCTATGGCGGAAACAGTGGAGGGCGTCCATTTGGCCTTCAATTCTGTCCATGTGGATAGCCTTGAATTGGGAGCATTCGCACGTTAGACTGAAGGAGGGATTGGGGACCCTGTGGGAGAGGCTGGAGTTCATGGTTCTCCACACTTCTTGAGGAGGCCTCAAGCCTTTTCTTTCCGTGCATTTCTGTGCTACTTTTCATTAAAAAAACCCAAAACACCCAATCGTATGCTAAAATACCTTAAAACCAATCAGTAAAACAGTGATAAAACACCCAGTGTTGCTAGAAAGGCGAAGATTCCTGGGCAATGAAATGTGTTTTAAGTTGTAGCAGGAAAACTGCACCCTGGGTGGCTGCCTGGTCTCGGTGGGAATTCATAGTGGGTCCCACCACAGAGAAGGCCCTTCTCTGCACCACGGTCAAAGTAACAGCCGCAGGCCGTGATGTGGTAAGCAAGGCCTCCCTTTCAGAAAGTAGAGAGTGGGGCAGCCTCTCTGAGGGAAGGTGGTTGTTCCAGTAACCAACCCTGAGCCGTTCAGGGCAAAGATGGGCCACTTGAGGCTCTCCAGGGCTCTTGGCCTACAGCTCCCATCATCCCTCAACATTGGCTGTGCTGGCTGCTGCTCATGGAAGTTGCAGGCCAAAAGACACAGAGAGTTGCCTGCAGCTCACCTGAGGCTTAGGGCCTTATCAGCGAGCAGGAATACCTGGAACATAGTTTGGTAGCTAATGGCAGCCACCACAGCTCTTGGAGTCATAACAGACAGACATGGATATGGCATGCCATCTAAGAAATGGGCAGTAGCTTTTGCTCATGAAATGGTAAGCTATTCCGTTCACCTTCGAGATAATTCCTTCAGTATCGTAAAATAGCTTCTACTTTGCAGTTTTGGTCATATGTCCATTTATTTGAAATTGATTTGCTTGCTTCAGTGGCCAAATACTCCACTGAAAATCTCTGTTGTTTGGCAGCCATGCTGTTTAGATCAGCATTAATCCATGATGGGGCGAGTCGCCCACCTGCAGTCAGCATCGCTAGCTATCCTGTTCTTCAGCTCTTTGGAAAGTCGGGCAGCGGCCCCAACTGGAGCGCTTCGTTCCCTTCTCATGTAGCTGCATGTGCGTGTGCATGTCGGGTCATTAAAGAAATGATCCTGATGGCTATATGCTACCTCCAGTATCAGAGGCCGTATGGCTGCGTACACCAGTTTGGAGGAACACCGGTCCTGCTTGTGCGATTTCTCTCGGCAGTCGGTTGGCTGCTGTGTGAACTAGATGGGCCTTCGTGTGACCCATGGCCGTTCTGTTCTCAGGAGCTACTTTGTAATGACACCATTTTTCATCCGTTCGTCTGCTCTTGATGAGCGCGGTTCTCCAGAGTCTCAGACGGAGGAAACATATGCTCAGTCACGGAGCTGTGATTCGGGAAGAGGGAGAGTGAGGTGGATAGATTCAGTAGGCCCATCACGTGTAAGATGAGGCGCGGGGCTTGATTTAATTTTGGAGCAAGATGTCTGCAGGGACACGGCCACGCCGCTTGCATCATCACACAGAGGCCGCTCAGGCATGGTCCCCGGTGTCCTAGGATGGCTCAGCTGTCACTGAGTTGTCAAGGAGTAGATCGCCAGCTGGGGGAACGGATTTTCATAGGAATCTTTTTCTTCCATCCAGACTTCTGACCAAGGTGGTCAGAGCTCGTATTTATGTTCTGCATTTTTCTACCGCCCAATTGCTGAAACTCTCTGGGGGAATTTACAAAACTAATGCTAAGCCATAAAACACAGAACTATATATTCAGAAAAATGAAACATCTGAAACAAAGCAGACACAGATAAACACAACATAAAACCAACAGCAAACAGCAGCAGCAGAAGAGATTATACATTTTACAAACAAAAACATCTCGAAGAATAAGATTATTAGCCTTGAAAAGACCACAATGCAGAGGCCAGGTGAACCTCTCTGAGGAAAGAATTCCACTGAAAAGGCCCAATAGGGACATAAATTAGTTTCCAACATGGTACCTGAGGAGGTATAGCTATGGAATAAACTAAGCCCTTTTAAAATGTAAAGCTGCATTAATCCATGGTTAACTCTCCCTCCTTAACCGCATGGGGTCTTATTTATAAGAGGCAAATTACAAGAATTTCTTACCTTGTTAAAATATGTAAAATCAGTCTAAGAAGCTTCTGATGCATTCCACTTAGCATAAAAGAGCATAACTTCTTGTAGTGCTGAGCTAACTATCTGTATTTAATGTGAAAAGGGATGTGATGAAGGACCTGCTAGAACTGAATGATTAAGTTACTAGGATGTTACAGAAGAACATGAGAGGAAGCAGGCCAAGGAAAGCTGGAACAGGGTTAGGTGCAGTTCTGAGAAAAAGGGGGAAAGGAAGATGGCTGGGAGAAGAAAGAAACAAGGAAGGAAACAGGCTGAGCATCTATGGGAATGATTTCACATCTAGGATATTCTGCCATAGGCCAGCGGTTTGGATTCGCCAATCCAACAGGCCTGGCCTTTGACTTGTGCAATTTTGAGATACAATTTTCTCTTTCAGGATGATGAAGTCGTGCTTCAGTGTTCAGCCACAATCCTAAAGGAACAGCTGAAGTTATGCCTGGCTGCTGAAGGCTTTGGAAACCGGCTATGTTTCCTGGAACCTACCTCCAATGCTCAGGTACATTCTGGGAAAAGCGAAGCTGGGAAGGATGGTCTCCTGGGTGGAATGGCGACATTGACTAGAGTTTATTGAGGCATTTTATTGTTGCAAACTGGGCCAGGAACTGATCCAGTTCATGGGACCAAAAGAAAACCTAGGCATCAGAGCTGCAGATAGTGGCTAGTGGTTAGCCAGGAGGAGACAAGCACATTTTTATCACACACACTTGAGCTTTGAAGGCTTCCTCCAGGGTAAAGGTGAGACTTGACTAATCCAAACTTTCACATAGTATTGACTGTGCAAACTTCATCAACAATATATTTGCATTTCTTTTCTCGGACAGCAGAACATTTTCAAGAAGAACTTCTTGTTCACTCCAGCCAGGGCGGGTGTGAAGACTAGGTGTGTCTGGGCACCTGCCAAGGGTCTGCAGCCCAGCAGGGACCCACTGAGAAGGACCCCTTGGAGTTGTTCCTCCTTTTTACCATTGCAATCCGCTAGTCCCTCTGCCTCTTTGGCTCTGATAACAGTGGTGACAAGAAGAAACAATAGATGCCATGTCCTGCTTACTGACCGGCTCACTGCCTGATGAGCAAGCACGTAATAATGAGAAGAGGAATGGGGATAGCCTGTAGTGACAGTGGGGACTTTGGGCTGGTTCTGACTCCAATAGTAAAGTACTTCTTGTCTGTACTGTCTCAGCCATGAGTATAATGTGGAGTAAATGACCCCTTTTTGCTTTGGACTGCCTTCTGCTAGAGTAGGAGATACTCAAGCCTTGAATATTTCTCTAGTCAGCTAGGCTTGGTGGGAAAGTAGATCACGTGTATGTGTTGAAAAGCACACTTTCTTGAGAAGTCTCAGTACGGAGTAAATCACACCTCTCCGTTGTAACCTCTGATGTAGACTGTGTCTGCTAAATCTCACATTGTGTTCTGATGCAAGATGGAGTCTGCCTGCTGTAAATCAACACCAAAGCAAGCACACAAGTGTGTGTTAATTGGTGCCTCTGTGAGTGTTGTAATTTTCATACATAGTAATTGGATAGGTTTCTATTTCTCTCTGTATAACCAAAGGATGTTATATAAGCGAGGGGCATTGTGGTGGTGGTGTGTGTGTGTGTGGAGATACTTGTTCCTGTCAGGAGATAACCTGGCTACTTCAGCTCTTTCTCCTCCACTTGTTGATGTACCTGCTTTATTAAGCTTAACTTGAATAAACCTGTACACAGAGTAAAGTCTCTTTGCTTCCACACCAGCCATTCCGTGTTAGCCACACACTGTGTGAGGGGTATTTTGTGTGCAGCGATTTGTGTGTCTTCTCCGCTGTCTCCTGGTACATCTGGGAGTTCTGCAGAACCCTTCCCATGAACCTCCTGGTTACGCACCCACCCCCGTAACTTTGTCCTCTCTCTCCATGTAGAAAGTCCCTCCAGATCTGGCCATATGCTGCTTCAGCCTGGAACAGTCCTTGTCGGTACGAGCCCTGCAGGAGATGCTGGCCAACACCGTAGAGGTGGGCTCCGAGGTAAGGACCACAAACTTTTCCTCTGTTTGAGGCTGTACAGTTTAGCTGAGCCTGTGGCAAAATCTGACTGAGTTAAGCAGACGGGATGGGCACATGTGTGTGAGTGTTTAAGGCAGCCGTGGGCCGCTCACAGCCCATGGGCCGGACACAGGCCATCCCTGTTTGTTCACACGCACACGTGCCCACAGAGTGTCCCCTGCGGCCTCCTTGGTTGCCAGATCCCTGGCAGTTTTCTTGGGAAACAAGGCATGCAGGAACACACGCCTGGTTTCCCAGGAGGTGCACACTCTTCCCAGACTGCCAGACAGTTTTTTGGTGGGATGGCCAGAAGTGCCATTCTCAGAGAAAGAGGCTCAGGGGCTTCTGGTGGGGGAAGGTTACAGCCCATAGTGCTTTCCAGTGGCACAGCGTGGACCCACAACACAGAGTTGTGGGTCCACAAACTTGTTCACTGCTGGACCCGTGTCCCTCATGTACCGGGCATCACTGTGAACAAATGGAGGTTAACCTCCACACATTTGAATCTTATACCTTTGCCTGGATACCGTGTATTATGCTTCCCACATTCGTTTGGAAGGGAGAATAATGATGTTGATGTGTAGAAGCCAGGGCTTGGAGGCTCCAGATGGCAGTTGATAGATGTTGCTTCCCTACTATCCCTCTTCTTTAAGGTTACCTTCCCTTTTTCACCCACTTTTAATGGAAAATCCAGACAACATTGCTACCAGATTGTTGCGTTCCACTATTTTCCACGCTATTCACTGCTGCTTTTTTTCACATTTGATTTGTGGAGGTTTTGTTTGCAATAAAATTTAACTGTCTGTCCACAATAGGCTCACATAGTGCTAGGAAGGCTTTTCGGGGCTAGGGTGCATTTAATTAGTAGCTTAGTCCTTGTGAAGGTTGAGGAATTGATTAATTGCCCCTTTAAAAATCAGCTTGTGTTTCCTGCTGGGCAGAGTTTTCTCAGTAGTTTCCTTTTGTAACTTTCTGGTATTGGAGCAGACCAACGTTATTTCATTATCAAGGATGGAAAGTTGTAAGAGGAAACTGGTAACTAGAGACCTTTGCCTCAAACAAATGCTGAATACTTAAGGGACAACCCATCACTAATACCCCAGCAATAAAATGGGCAAGACCTGCTTTTAATCGACTGTACAAGAGACCTTTGCCAGGTGGCGTTTATTTGTGAGTAAGTATTATAGAAGGGTAATGGGAAAGGGCATTGCTGGATCGCAGAGCACAGTGTACAGCCGCTGATTTAATTCTTCTTTCTGCTGGTGGAAAAGCAGTGCCTCAGCAATGCTAAAAGGCTCTAGTAGGGAAGCAACCAGGTACCAACTTCGTGTGGCCTTGATCCTATTCCTTTGACAGCTACCTAACAAGCAGAATTCAACAGGCGAATCTTTCGCTGGTTTTTCCATCTCTTTGCTGTAGAAAACTTCACCTGCTGCATTTAATTGCTGGCTGTTATGCAGTGGTCAAAGGTAAAGACCATTTGTCCGCTAATGCAACAATGGTAGCAACAACAAAAAAACTCAGGACAGCAGCTGCTAGATAACATCCCAACCACAAGGTCTGATTGGGTGTGTGGTCCTGGTTCACTTCAGCAGCTCCGTTTAGCTTTGAAAATTTCCTGCACGTGTGCTCTGAGGGTGTGGTGAGAAGATCCTCTCTGCCTGGGGATGGGTGTGGGGGGGGGGTGTCTTTAGGATGCTGATTAGGACAGCCAGTGACTTGCAGGTATTCCAGTGTCCCCATACATGTATGTCTCAGTATCTAGAATGGTTCATCTTTTCTTCCTCTTCTTTCCTTTGGCTTCTCAATTCCGCCGGCTGATCCTCTAGGGTGTTGACTTGGACAAGTGGGTAGGTGCCGTCTTCACTGCCGTGATCCCACCCACACCCTTCCTTTCTAAATCTCTTCTCTCCCTCCTCCCTGGCCTGTTTTGGTGTGCATACCCATCTCCTCTCCTCCTCCTGGGGGTTCTCACCTCCCCAAGTGCAGCCAGAAACAGGTGTGTGTAGCAGGTTAAGAGAAGCTGGCAGATTTGCGGTGGGGGTGGGTGATGCAGAGATTCCTGAATCCAAGCCCATTCCACACCTCTGTAAGAAACCCACAGTTGAGTTGGGGTTGTAGGTCTGTTAAAAGGAAGTGGGGTTCAGATAGTCATGACTATGTGTTTTCTAGAACCCTCTTGTCACCTCGTTTTACTAGCTTGGTTCCTGTACCCCTGACAGCCAGCAGCAATTTAGCTGGTAAAGCTTTTCCTGAGATGAAGCATATGGGGAGGGGAAAGGTGCGATTGCTTGATTTCTGTCAGCCAGCCTGCTCTCAGAAGCACAGGAGTAGTAAAAGGAGTGTCATCCTTGTTACAGAGGAGCAGAACTGAGGCCTAAAGGTTTCTCACCTGAATGTTCCACCACAGGGGTCTTTAAACCACTAAACCCCTTCCCATCGAATTATTGCGTTCATTCCCCCTCATTCAAGTCGGCTAGGTCAAACAGCTGCATTTTAGCAGCAGATGCAGTCTCCTTTTACAAGGCAACCTATTTTTCTTTCCTCTGGGAGAGAGACGTTGTCTTTCAGTTCCAAATAGGGTGGTGTACGATTGGTGGTGTAAGATTGACTGCAAATGTGAGGGATTGCTCTCTGGAAAAGAGGTTAATGGGAGGCAAAGAAGATCTTCATCTTTCTTCTGTAGATAGGAACCAGGTGGAACCCCCTTCCCTCACAACCTATAAATAACTCTCCTTTCCCTTCCTCTACCCCTCGACTCACTAGCTCTCACTCCATTTCTCCAGTGCACCTCCTTCCTCCATCCCTTGGCTGTGGTTTCCCATTGCTCAACCCAGACTATTGTCTGCCTCTCCTCATTTCATTGCATGGTTCCTGCGAGCGGACAGGGCGAACCCTTCCCATGTTGGGGCATCTGTTACAAGCTGGTGGTAGAGTGCAGTATGTTGAAACGGACATGCTCTTTTGCTCTGTGAGATGGAGCAGTTACTGTGTGCGTGTGTTGAGGGAAGATCAGATGATCTCATGGGTCAACTGGAATCCACTGTGGGCGCTGGGCATCCCCTCCATCTCACCCTGCTGCAGTGCCTTGTGTGTGGTCTCTTTTCCCTCTGCGAGATGCTGCCTGTGTCTCCGCTCCTTAGCCACTGGGGCACTGCGTGGGAAATGATGTTCCTTTCCATGATTGTTTGCACCAGTTCTTCTAACGGCACTTAGAATGGTCATGATCATGGAACGTGGCCTGCTTGATTGTGATCATATCCGTGCCCACCCTGCCGTGGCTTATACGAAGAATGCCCATGAAATGTAGACCATAAGCAACCTGCACTGGGCCTGCTCTCTACCTACTGTATTGGAACAAATACAGTACCTTGCCTTGAGCTCCACGAAGGAATGACAGTTCTCGGCTGTGACCGATAAATAACTAACAGAAAATTAGATCTCTCCAGTTCTGGGCCCGTATGCATGGTCCAAGCAAAGAGTTATGGCGATGTGCACCGAGGTAGTTTGAAATGTACAGTAACAATCACAAATACGGTAGTTACGTGGACTTCAGACGCTCTTTTATAAAGACTCTTTGATTAAGACCTTCACCATACAAGGTAGACTTGAGTACTGCTCTCACAGTTGTTCCCAAACTGTGCACATCAGTGTGACTTGAGTCTTGCTATGAGGAATACTTTGTTTAAGAATTAGAGTTTCCTGTAAGGCCCTGGACAAGCCTCTGTTCACTTGCCTTCTGAGTGTTGTCTGAATTAGGAGTGAGTGAAGGTGCAGCCACGGCAGAAACACACCAGACTCATCTAAACTTGGAGGATGGTCACCCACTGCAGATCCATGACCCAATTTACATAAACACAAGCTGGTTGAGAAGCCACAGAGACTCGTTAATCACCCTGCATCTGCTGGTTGCATGCCAGCTGATCTGCATAATTACCTGCGCCAGGTGTGGCTTCTCATGTCATCTGAAACTTGTTGGGGAATTAACAAACTACCTGAACTTATTTCGTATGGTTGTGCAGTGGTTTGTTAACTACCCCAACAAGCCACCTTGGCCGGGTTGGATAGCCAGAGTGGTGGGGGCTGGCATCAGCAACCCGGAGCCCGTGGGCTCCACAACCCACTGTAGCCAATAGACCAAGACAGGCCAAAGTGATTGCGCAGACCAAGTAGCCCCTTCTGAGGCTGGATAGTTTTGCAACATCTCAAGGCGTGTGCTTAGCGAGGCAAGATGAGAGCATCACAGAAGCTCGCAAAAGCACGCTTTAAAAGCAAACTTGCATCCATCCAAGCCACAGTGCCACTACACCGCTGCTTTGCGATTACAAGCAACCTGTACATTGTTGTGTCCTCAGACTTTGTAGTGGAGTGACTCGTTACGTAATGACATCAACTCTTGTGGGAACTGTGCCGGTCGTTTGAGTCACTGCAAAGGAGATCACGATGACACGCTAGTTTTTCTAGAGTGCTGTGTAATGACAGAGCCAGCCTGTGTCTGCTGGGCACATGTGCCTTTCTTGGCTTGGCTGATGCATCTGAGAAAGAAATGTATCTGGAAACGTTATTTGGCACGGCAGAATATAATCGCATACGTATGTGGAGGACCAGGAAGCCTCTTGGGGTCAAACGTCGTTGTTCTGTGATATGGGAAGAGGCTTCGTGTTTTGAGGGGAGCTTTTCTTTGCTTGTTCCTCCTGAGGCAAATCTCCAAATCCTATTTAGGGTGAATGCTGTTCTGTCTTGTTCATCCTGGGTCCCTTGGAAAAATAGCTTGGAAGGAAATTTTCCAGTAGATAGAACGGCTCAGGGTCGTTTTGTGGAGATAAACATGAACAACAATTTATCAAGTGGTAACACCACCGAGGCACTTGGAAAGCCGATTGTTGCAGTGCCCTGCCAAGGGCTGAGCAGAAATTCTGCCATATGTCAAGTGCTGCTGGGTGGTAAAAAATCAGTAAGAAAAAGTAATCCTTGTTGACTCATTTTGCCAGCTTTTCGAGGGCAGCTTTTTAACATCTGCATTGTGGGTTTATTGTAAACCTGATTTGCAGGGCAGGTTGGTTTGTTTGGGTCAAATATGAGCTGTTGGTGTTTCCATTACACCCTGTGTGTATTATTCAGCATTTGGTAGGTTTAAAACCATCTCCATCTCTTGGCTCCTCTGTTGCAACTGCAAGGGCTGGGACCCTTTGAAACATCATAGAGTGCACTCCAGGATCCTTAAGGAAAAGAATCGGTAGCCCGTATCGTTGTGAGATGTGGCATGAGGTCGAAGGAGTGCTTCACACGACGTCCCGTGCGAGGGCTCCTGATTGCACCCCATGATTCAAGTTCCTTCTGCTTCGTTCCTAGTCTTCTCAAGGTGGCGGACACCGGACCCTCCTGTACGGACACGCTATTCTTCTTCGGCATTCCCACAGTGGCATGGTAAGGGGAGGAACATTTGGGAAATTTATGTATCTTGAAGTGGGGAAAGAACAAGCCAGGCGGCTTGGGGTCATGCGGGGCACAATGCGGGATGGCTCCGGGGCCCAGAAGGGCATGGATGGCGCTCCCACAGAGCTGCGGCCAAGTGGATTTATTTTCAGGCGTGTGTCATGCGCCTTCCTCTTGGGATGCAGAAGTTGCAAGGAATCTGGAAAGGGCTTTTAGGGGATGGGTGCATGTCTTGGCAAGGAGGCTGCCAAACACTGGAAGGGCTGAGAGGCATTCTGGAGGCCAGATTTAAGACCTAAGTCGAGAGCTGAGGTCATCCAGGGTGGGTAGTGCTGGCTGTACTTTCCTTCTGTGGCCATTTGTGTGTGTGTGTGTGTGTGTGTGTGTGTGTGTGTGTAATGAGAATAAGGCCTTGATTGATAGCCCTTGAGCGTGTGTTCACACTGGCTTTTCACTGCTGATTTACTGTTGGAAATTTTGCTTGACATGTTTCCATGGTGTGTGTTGAATGCTGAGGTCCCAGTCAAGATACTTGGGCTAATACTTGGATTATCATCATGATTGTCTGACATTGTCAGGTTACATTTTTAAACAGTGACAGAAGACTTTGGGATGGTAGCATGCCAGTATTTTCAGATAATGCTTCTTCATCTGCTTCCTTTCCTTGCTTTTAGTATTTAAGCTGCCTAACCACATCCCGCTCCCTGACGGATAAACTTGCCTTTGACGTGGGCCTTCAGGAGGATGCCACAGGTACATGTCCGCGTGCTCAACGGGAAGGAAGCTGTGTGTGCTGGCCTTGTATGGTGTGTGGAGAGAAGAAATTCTGAACTGGAGCTACTATACAGCGATAACAAGGCTGTGTTGAGTTTCAGGAGAGGCTCCTCTGAGATGGATGCATCCAGCCCTTTGTGTATCCCAGGAATAGTCCTAACATAAGTGCTAATCCTATTGCAAAATAGCAATGCCCAAAAATGCATCTAGGAAATCCAATTCTCCACTAAGAAAAGAATTCTGTGAAACTGAGCAGATATCCATAACCTATGTGCTATCCCCCTGCTTTCCTCCCCTCACTCGATCTGTTTGCATCCTTTAATTTGCTTTTGATAAAGAAAGGCAAAGAGCTTTGCAAGATGCCGAAGTCTGACTGTCTGGACAACTAGAAATTTTATTCAGCCACCCACTCTGCGCTTCTGAAACTCCCCCAGGCACCACCTGTCCACTCCCAAGCATGTCCTCCTCAGCCGTGGGTGCTTGATCCCCGTGCCCGGCCACCCCGGTCTGTGCCTCTTGGGTGCATCATCTCTGGTGATGCGCAGGGAGCCTTTCAGTTTGCCTGTCCCATAACATGCTTGCCTGGAGTTCCCCAAAGCCACCCGCAGTCCCTCTCTCCCCCACCAGGAGAAGCCTGCTGGTGGACCATCCACCCCGCCTCCAAGCAGCGATCGGAAGGGGAGAAGGTGCGCGTTGGTGATGACCTCATCCTTGTGAGCGTTTCCTCCGAGCGGTACCTGGTGAGTGTGTGTGTGCGGGGCGTCCATCTGCAGGAGCTGCGTGTGGGTCTGCCTTAGCCCGTAGTCAGAAATGTTGTGGTCTGGAGGCTTAGGGGCCTGGGGAATACAATGGGCAGGACATGGATGCAGGTACCCCAAAAGGCTTAAAGTTATTTAGTTGTTTTGCTTTTGGTGAGCAGGTGAGTGAATCGTTGCCTGCCTGTTTCTCTTTACCTCTTCACATGGACCAGGGAGAAGAGACTTAATGTTTAATGAAAGCTAAAAAGTAATGGAAGGACTTGGGGGGGGGGACCCCAATATCCTTGATGAGGGGGTCAAACCCCCATTGTCCCTCTCCCCATTTGCAGTGTCTCTACTTGCCTCTGTTTTCACACTGCAACTCCAAGGCTGAACCCACGCCCTGATCAAGGAGGCAGGAGCCTGCCCACCCACCTCTCATCCTCTGCTTCCTCCGTAGTCCACTTGGAAAGAAAGGGCTGATGGCATCTTGCTACATAGCCAGATTCCTCTTCCTTCTCCCCTTGCCCTCTCTTCCCGTCTAAGACATGATTCCTAAAATGTTTGGAACTGGCAACCTTCCCCGCCCATCGCATTTTTGCATAGGATAGTTGTGGTTTCTTAGTAAAGAAGTAAAGACAATTTTCACATGCTCAGGGACACTCTCCTATAACAATCCCAGACCTGAGCCCTGCCTTTGAAAACGCACTGCTGAGAAACGAAGCACTCATGAAATCTTATTCTGACTGACGCCTGAAAGACGGCATTTTCCCAGATAACCCTGCCTGGGTTTGAAAGTTTCATGGGGAGGCCATCCTCTCCCTCTTGCCACCGTCAGAGACAAGTGTAGTGGAGACACGGACCAAGGTCTTCTTCGAGGCTGCTCCAAACCTCTGGGACTCCCTGCTGAAGGGCTGGGGGAGCCCAGTGGTTCCTTTGTCATTGTCCTTCTGCCGCCAGACAGATACAAGCTGTTCTGCTGCTGAGATGGGCTCTTTTGGGCTGGGTCCTGACTTTATTTCCTTCACGAATGAGAGCTTTTAATTTATCCGCCTTTTGTATTTATTTTAATTAGGTTTATTCTAATCTTGGTTTTATTACCTTTTGCCCCCTTGAGTGCCATCATTTTTGTGGAAAGGTGTCAGATGATTCGAATTAATAGAAAACAAGCTGTGGTTGAATCCACGGAGGCTCTTCAGCCTGTTATCTCCACCTGTGCGTCTGCTTGCTATTGCTCAACAGTATCCTTACTGGTTTCTAGCACCTGTCCACAGCCAGCGGAGAACTTCAGGCAGATGCCTCCTTCATGCAAACGCTTTGGAACATGAACCCGATCTGCTCAGGCTGTGAGGAAGGTGAGTGATCTGACAGGGCGTAGACTGGGGGCATGTGATATCTGTTGATCTCTCAGTGACTTGCAATGCCACCAGGTCTCCAGGGTGTCCTGCTGGAGTTCTGGGGGTGGGTGGGACCACTTTGCGGTGCTCCTGCTCATATCTGGACAGTCGTTTGCAGGGGGGGTGCTATGCGTGCCTGCTTAACCCTGTGCCATCTCCACTTCGGCTCTCTGGTGTACCAGGGTCCCCATCTGGCAGTCATCTTATCTCCTGGCCCCACTCGGTCTCCTGGCAGGGAAAAACTCTGGCCTCCAGTTGGCACCTCTTCCTGCTTGGGAAAGGGGACAAGGCCTGGGGAGGAAGCTGCTGAGCAATTCAGTTCTGGTTACTTCTGGGTGGAAGGGAAGAGGCTTGTTCTGCTCCTGAGTTGGCCCAAAATGGGCCAGAATCACCTTGGCACATTGTATGGCTGTATTGCGTCAGGAGCGCTAGGCGTGGATTCAAAATCTCACCTCGGAACTCAGGAAGGGGCCGGAACCTGCAGCTCCTGCACTGTGTCAATGCTAATACTGATCCAGTGTTCAAGTCTGCTGAGGTCCGGTATGTGAAATGGCTCATATGCTCATTTCCCCCTTGTTGTCACTTGCTTACTCCTCTCTCTGTTTCCTGCCCCACAGGGTATGTGACCGGTGGCCATGTTATGCGCCTCTTCCACGGCCACATGGATGAATGCCTCACGATCTCCACCACGGACCAGAATGAAGAGCAGCGCAAGTGGGTGCCACATGGGACTGTCAGCATATATTTGGCTCCTTAAAGAGCGAGTCTGAAAGACTGGCCCCGGGGCTGAAAAGGAAGAGGTGGGGAGGGGAGCACCGGCACCCTGCAGCTGAGCAGGTGGCTCCACATACTGTCACGCTTCCCTTTCTTCTCCACCCCGGCCCTCAAAGCTCCCTCTGATAAATTTCTCATCAGAAATGTTGCTGCTCCCTATTGACAGGGCGGGGTGGGGGGAGGACCCTCCCATCACGTGTGACTTTTATGCAGGGGGAACAGTGGTGCACACTTACACGTAACTCCTGAAAGGAAAACTCTGCTCTAATTGCAAGACACAACACAAGTGGACACTGTTACTATGTCTTTAGTTGGCTGGAAAAGCCATCAACTCAACTCAACTCTCCTCTCCTCTCCTCTCCTCTCCTCTCCTCTCCTCTCAGAGTGGTGAACTATGAAGGTGGAGCTGTCTGTTCCCAAGCTCGTTCGCTGTGGCGCCTGGAGCCCTTGCGCATCAGGTGGGGCTTTGCTCCCTTGTCCTTTCTGCCTTTAGGGGGTGCTTCCTGTATCTGCTCATCTGCCCTGCCCGCCCTCCGCCCCCCCGAGTCCTGCAGAGGATTCTGAGCATGTTCAAGAGCGCACTGGCTTTTGGGGCCCACCATCAGCCCTACTGCCGCTGGGCTATTTGCCAGGGTTTGCGCGCCCCAGCAGGGCCTGCACGGGCAAGCAGCTTGCCTTCCTCCCACGTTCCCAGCACCACGTGGGCCTCCCTCTTACTCTCCCAAGTCCGCCGTGTTCAGTGTCCTTGTCCTCGCTGCAAGGTGAGGTGTACCTTATTTATCACTTTGTTCCTATGTGCCATTTGCCAGGGTGGCCTGCCTGCGGCCCCCGGAACTGCATCTCTTTGAACAATGGCCCCCTTTTACTCCAACAGCTGGAGCGGCAGCCACATGAAGTGGGGCCAGCCCTTCCGTGTCCGTCATGTCACCACAGGCCGCTACTTGGCATTGACCGAGGAGAAGGGGCTGGTTGTGGTGGATGCTGAGAAAGCCAACACCAAAGCCACTGCTTTTTGCTTCCGGATCTCCAAGGTGAGCAGAGTCTCTCTGTAAGTCCCTCTGTCCCTCCTCAGAGGTGGCTACAGGTCAGTGAGAGCGCAAAACTGTCCCCCTCGCCAGAAACGGCTGGATTATCACATGGAAGCTGCGTGTCCTTCAGTCATACCCACAGGAGCAGCTTCTTTGATTCATGTTCATTCTTCTCTAAATGTCAGGATCCCCTCTTTGTGGAGAGGAATTTGTTTCTTGCTGTGGTTTTCAGCTACTCTTTGAACCCTCTTTACTGCCATTCCAGCCTTGGGAGCTTAGAGAGAGAGACCCTGTGAAAGGGAATTCACCTCTCCTGCCCTTGATGATTGCAGCTGCTTTCCAGATCTTCACCAGTTCGTGGTGCCCATCTCTGCCCCCCGCCCCATGGCCTTTATTCATTGCATGCTCTGCTCTGCTCTGCCCCTTGCCCTTTCAGGAAAAGCTGGACGTGGCCCCAAAGCGAGATGTGGAGGGGATGGGGGCCCCGGAGATCAAGTACGGCGAGTCCATGTGCTTCGTGCAGCATGTGGACAGCGGCCTCTGGGTGACGTATGCGGCGGCTGATGCCAAGGCGCTGCGCCTGGGGATAGTCAAGAGAAGGGTGAGTCTGGGCTGGCGGGTGGGCCGGGCCGGGCCGGGCCGGGCCGGGCTGGACCCCCATGGGACTCTTGTGCTTTGGGCCCCTCTCAAGATGTATCGCTCTACCACTCACCCCACAGGCCATTTTGCATCAGGAGGGGCACATGGACGACGCCCTCTCGCTGACGCGCTGCCAGCATGAGGAATCGCAAGCTGCTCGGATGATCTACAGCACTTCTGGGCTTTACAACCAGTTCATCAAGTAGGCATCCGGCAAGCTTTGCTCCAAACAAAACAAGGAAGTACCTGCCTGATGTTATATTCTGGCTGTCCTTTGGCTGTGACTGCCTCCTTGTGAAAACGTTGGCTCTCTTCTGTTTTGGGGGTGAAGTCATGGGATGTTTGCAGACATTTTGACAGCTGTATGAGAGAAGAGTCATTTGGTGTAGTGCTGACCCAAGTGGGATGCTTGGGCTTGGTTGCCTAATAAAAAGGGGGACTCAAGCCAGGTTTGGGGGTGAGCAGGGGGAAGAAGAAGGAGGAAGGCAGCAGGCTGAGAGGTTATAGCTCGATGGCGGAGCACATACTCTACCTGTTGGAAGACTCAAGTTGGATCCCTGGCATCTAGTGTCCATTCCCTGCACTGATTTGCAGTTGCTTCACTGGGTGATTCTTCCCTATCTCTGTAGTTCAGCTTTTGCTGCCCTTTCTCCCCCCCCTCTCCAGGGGCCTGGACACCCTGAGTGGAAAGGTCAAGCTGAGCACCCCGGTGACTCTTCCCATCAGTGGGATGATTCTCAGCTTGCAGGATCTGATCAACTACTTCCAGCACCCCGAGGAAGAGCTGCAACATGAGGAAAAGCAGACCAAGCTCCGCTCTCTCAAAAACAGGCAAAATCTCTTCCAGGAGGAGGTAAAGGCGCTAAAGCCGGGCGGGTGGGAGAGGGTGGCTGCAGCAGAAAAAGCGGGGGCCAAGCTCAGCAAAGGTCCATCACTGGCCTGACGGGTCAGCTGCACTCGTCCGCCCTCAGCACAGGGCCTGTCCCAGCACCCCTGTACTTGCGGCTCCTCAGAGGCAGGCTGGATCTCTGCAGACCGGTGCTGCCGGCCCCCAGTCTCCACAGGCGGCTGCTTGCTCTGGCGCCAGGCGGGAGCCAGAGCCATGGGGCCGAGGGACTGCCTCAGAAGCCCTCCTGCAACTGCACGCAAACTCCTCTTTCCAAGGAGGCATGTCAGCTGTTAAAAGAGCGCTCCTGCCTTGAACGCAAAATTGCTCTGTGTCCTAAACTCTGTTGTGCTTATTGGTATGAAACAGGCATGCTTGAAAGCGATGGGTAAACGTTTGTCCTAAATGTTAAGTAAGGATGGCTTTAGTTCCTCTTCGGGTTTTTTGGGTGCATTCTCGCCTTTTGATCTGCCGTTCCTTTAGTTTGATTGTTAGGCTGGAGGACGCTATTATTCCTCGCTTTAGTCCTTTGCAGCCATATATTAGTCTTCTAATCTGATTTGCTCTTTGAGCTGGAAGCTGATCTGGTTCCTTTTGTGGAGTAATTCATTTTCTATAATGAATAAACAAGTTAAACAGTCCTGTCAGCATAATCAGTATTAGGGAGTTAAGCTGGGTAGCATTTTGAGGTGGCCACCAGAATCCAGATCCTGGGGCAGGCAAGGCTCTGTCCGTCGGAGCAGCTCCGTCATTCTAGGAATGCGGGCGCCTCGTCGCATTTCAAATGCGAGGCTTCCCAGGTGGGGCTGCAGGAGCCGCAGTGCCTGACACTTCTCCGATGCTTTGCAGGGCATGATCACGCTCGTCCTGAACTGCATCGACCGTCTCAATGTGTATAGCACTGCTGCGCACTTTGCAGAGTTTGCCGGCGAGGATGCGGCTGAATCCTGGAAGGAGATTGTCAACCTGTTGTACGAGCTGCTCGGTACGAGGGCCAAGCGTAACGGTGGCCAAGCCCAGGCTTGCCGAACACTCCCAACCGAGTGCAAATCTGCCACGGATGAGGCATGAAGGGCGCTGGGGAGCTCCAAGGGGAGGCGGGAGTTGATTTCCAGGTCTGGTCATGTGTGGACTGAGTTTTAGTTTTAAGACAAGGCTTTGAATTTGGTACCTTTGCAGAGTTCATAGGAACCAGGTAGCTGAAGGAAACGGGACCTCAAGCCCAGGGGCTGAAAGCTGCCCCCTGGGGATTCCCATCTTTTCCCTCTTTCCCTTGACCACTGAGTGACCGGTGGTTTCTGCCTGTGGCACCTTTTTCTTTCCCTTTTAAAAGGTTGAAATTCCTCTCCTCGATGGCTTGGTTCCTGGCAGTAAGAGATTTAAGCTGAATTATGCCCTGCTCCCTAATCCTTTGGCCCACTCACTGCTGCCTGGAATGAAGCCTCTGAGAGCTGCTTCAGAATAGCATTGAGCCCTCAGGCCGAAAAAGATCTCGCTCTCTGTACACGTCGGCTCAAATTCAGACTGACAGGGCTTTGGGGGGCCTATTTTCATCACTCACCCGGCAGTCGCTGCAGCTCTGCCTGTTCCTCTGGCCGGCCAGCCAGCCGGCCTGCCTGCCTGCGTCGAGGTATCAGGCCTTTCACAGAGGCTGATCTGGGGGAATGCTTTTGATTTGCTGTGCCAGCAGCCTGACTGGAACATTTCTGATTTATTGACCTGAGAGCAGAGTCAGTGAGCCCTGAATGCTCCTTCCAACTCTGACCTGATGCCTGCAAGAGGTAACCGTTGCAAAGAGCAGGGTTGCTCCCAGGCCCGTTTTTGGCAAGGAGACAAGAAGCCAAGAGACCAGAGGCAGCTTACTTTGAGCTAGCCGGGGACCGGCCTCAAAGAGAAGTCATTATTGAAGGGGCGTTGACCCTTGAGCTTGCAAGCCACATCCGGCCATGCCACCTTTCCCTGGCCCCTGCTGGCTTTCCCCAACTGCCAGCTGTTTGGCAGAATTGCCTTGTTCCTCATCCTCCTCCCCCCCGCCCCCACCGCCCTGGCCTTCTGAATGGTCGAAATGCTTCTCCTGAGGCTTAGTTACTGCTGTAGGAAATTTGATCTAAAATATGCTGTCACTTTTGGTATTTTGCCCCTGTGGGAATAGGGTGCCCAAGAAGCTGAATTGGGCCCTCGGGTGGAAAGGGGGCTTCTGCAACTTGTGTTAGTAGCCCCGTTGGTCTTACTTGCACCCCTTGTCCTCCCCGCTTGGAAGGGCTGCCACAAACCAATCCGTGCCCATGACAAGGTGCTAACGAGCCACCCCTCTCCCATTTGCATTTTGCCATGCAGCCTCCTTGATCCGCGGGAACCGCTCCAACTGTGCTCTTTTCTCCAACAACCTGGACTGGCTGGTCAGCAAGCTGGACCGACTGGAGGCTTCCTCTGGTGAGCGGGTGGGGAGGCTGGTCCACCAGTGGCTGGCTGGGGACAGGGGAGGCTCGGCTGCCTCGCACTCCTCCTAAAGCCACCCTCCAACCAGTATTGCTCAGAAGTGGGCAGGCCTTTCAGGAAAGGGAGGAGCCTCCTCATGACTGAAATGGAGAGCGTAGCCTTTGCAAGCAGAAGTCCCTCAGCAGCTCCAGTGAAAAAGTTCTTGGGGAACAGGACCTGGAACCATCTCTAGAGCCATTACCAGTCTGGGCTAAGTGGGCTGATGGTCCGGTGTAGCGGAGGGCAGTAGGGTTTGTTTAGGCAGGCAATGTTTGATAGGATCAGGACCAGGGAAAACTATACCAGGCCGCAAAGGCAACATGCAGGTAGTGGGGCAGAATTCAACCAAAGCGCCTCACAAAACAGGTGAGTTGTGGCAAAGGGAAACCAAAGACCAGCAACAGATGGGTTTGTTAATGTTGTCCTTAAGTCGCACTGATAATCACTGAGCTCCGGGAAGTTTCCAGACCTGCCTGGCAGTTTCTTCCCGTTTCCTTTGATGGGTGATTGGGTGCCTGACAGGGCAGCAAATGGACCGACAGGGCAGCAAATTATCCCAACTGTGACTAATGGAAAACAATAAGTTGGGCAGGATTGAGTTGGGCTCCAGGCAGCCCATGCTCAGCCGTATCTCCCCCCGCGGCACCCCGAGAGAGCCAAATGCATTGGTGATGGTCTCTTCTCTCTGTCTCTCTCCCCGCTTCGCAACCTTGTCTTCTGTACTAGGCATCTTGGAAGTGTTGTACTGTGTGCTCATCGAAAGCCCCGAAGTGCTGAACATCATCCAGGAAAATCACATCAAGTCTATCATCTCACTGCTGGACAAACACGGGCGCAACCACAAGGTATGTCAAGGGAGGTGTGAGCCGAGGCTCTTCTCCCAGCAGACGGACATCCTCTGGCAGGGAGTGCTCTCTCTGCAGGTGTTCCGTGCAGGGTGGGAGGGGAGCTGCTTGCTCCTTCTCCCCTCCTTTGTCTCCTACATCCCTCTGAGCGAAGCATCGTATGCTGCATTCTTTGGAAGATTCACGTGCTCTGCTCCAAGATAAATCTAAATTAGGGGTTCAAAACCTGTAACCTGCAGGTTTAAATAGAACCATGGGGCACGCCATGCCAGCCTCTTCAAATGCCTGTGGAGGGCAGGGCTCAGTTTTCCCTTGCAGTTGCCTCTGATCCAAATGGCCCTTGGGGTAGGGAGCAAATTGTATCGGACGAGCGCAACTTCTCACTGCTGTGAGTGACCTCACCCACTGCCCAGCTCACGCTGCCCACAGAGGGCGGATTCCCAGCCTCCATCCAAAACTAGTTTTATGCCCCTGACCTGAATCTTCACATCTGGTACATCATACCAATGAAATGAGTATCTTTATAGTTCCATAATTCAGTTCCCTTCTGAGATCTAAATATACACAGTATTTATAATCTTACAGGCAAGGACAGGGACTGAGAAAATTAATGATGGCTAGCAGCTTGCCCTTTCTAATTTGAAGTTAAAATAGGGAATCTCAGTATGATGTGTGTGTTGTTAGATTCCACGCCAGGCAGTCAATTCCTGTATATCCAGGAAATACAGAGGAGAGGAAGAATTACTCCAGACTGGTGTGGGGAGGATTGTTCACTGGTTCAAAATAAATTTTCTTTTTCCCTGGCCCAGCTGCACCCTAAATTTGGGTAGTGAAAATTGTGTGAACATCCAAGCATGGACAGTGACTTAATGTTGTTTTAGGACATCCCTTTCCTCAGCAGCTTTGCCTTTCTCCAGCTCTCTGCTTAGGTCCCTCTTCCCTTCCCATCCTTTCACCTGCTCTAAAAGTCTCGCGCTTCCTTTTTAAGCACAGTGTCCATTTTCATCTCGGCAGGTCCTGGACGTCCTCTGTTCTTTGTGTGTGTGCAATGGCGTGGCCGTCCGTTCCAACCAAAATCTTATCACTGAAAACTTGCTCCCCGGGCGGGATCTGCTCTTGCAGACCAAACTCATCAACCATGTCACCAGGTGGGTATTTTGCTGTTTTTGATGCCTGTTAGAAGTTTGTACGACGTCCGCCAGAATGAAGAAAAGATATGGCGGATATGGATTGGGGAGCATTATTAGGCCTTCCAAAAACTTCAGCATCCATTCAGAAAGGAAGGGAAACGGCTTCTGAGCATGTGCAGGCGATACCTGCTGGACTCTCAGAAGCCAGAAGGATGGTGGAATGAGATCATCTGCTGGTGGGGTTGGGGCAGCTTCAGTGCCCTGTGCTTTTCCCCATGATCAGAATGATGGCGGCATGGCGACAAACATTTCAGAATGAATTACACAGAAGGGGAGACTTGTGTCAATTCGCTGCACGGATAATTGCCACACAGTCCAGCTTTTCTAGAGGCCAAATCTTGATTACAGGATTTTTTTTTTGTTTTGTTTTGTTTTATGTCATTAGATTATATCTAGATACTGGATTAATCTGGTTCTCTGATCCCAGATGCCAAATGCAGGAGACAGCGCTCATGTTTTGTAACTTCTCTTCCTTGCTTCCTTTTTTAACCCATTCTGTCTTAACCTTCTTCTTCACCTGCCCCCCCCCTTTTCAACAGCATGCGCCCCAACATCTTCCTGGGCACGCATGAGGGCTCCACCCAGTACAAGAAGTGGTACTATGAAATGATGGTGGATTACGTGGAGCCATTTATGACTGCCCAGGTCACCCACCTGCGGGTTGGCTGGGCCATGGCAGAGGGCTACAGCCCCTACCCTGGGGGCGGGGAAGGCTGGGGAGGCAACGGCGTTGGAGATGACCTCTACTCCTTCGGATTTGACGGCCTGCACCTGTGGTCAGGTAGGGAGCCAGAATGGGATGCTTCTCCCAGGCATGTGTGCATCGCTTTAGCCTTTCCCAGTCTTTTGGGCTATGAATCCCAGCATTCCAGATCATGGGCTGTTCTGGCTGGGATTGATGGGAGCTGTAGTTCAAAATACCTGAAGGGCATCTGGCTGGGGAAGGCTGTACTGCTCAACCGCTGAGACTGCAAGGCAGGAACCCGTGCTGGTGATAAATTTAGTATCTGAAGCAAGGTGGGATGGGAGGGAAGAACAGAGGGTGAGATTTTGTACATTAGAATGGGGCCCAGCTGAATTTAATTTGGCTGCCACTGCCTGGAGGTATCTTTGCATGTATCTCTGGAGCCAGTCATGAGGGTTTGCCAAAAGAGTTCTGTACAAGAGCAGCAGCTTCAATACCTTGTCGCTCCCCAAAACCTGCAGAAGCCGAATGTATTATGCAAAACTGTGGCATTCTAGCATAAATAGTCTGATTTGTATAACTCCCAGAAATTCCAGGATGCCATTTCTCTTGGCTTCCCTCAGAGAAGATGTCATTTAAATCTGTGCGCATGTTTGGAAGGTGCACAGCCTGGCTTCCTCAGACTCTGCTGTTCGCACGCGCAGTTCTTGGGGGGAGGCCACCCTCCATGCGTGCCCCATGCTCACCCTCCCCTCCCCTTGGCACAGGGCGTGTGGCTCGGGCTGTGGCGTCACCAGGGCAGCACAGCTTGGGGGCGGACGACGTGGTGAGCTGCTGCCTCGACCTGAGCGTTCCCAGCATCTCCTTCCGCATCAACGGCTTCCCGGTGCAGGGCATGTTTGAGAACTTCAACCTGGATGGTCTCTTCTTCCCCGTGGTCAGCTTCTCTGCGGGCGTCAAGTAAGCGCTGCCCCGGAGATGCAAACAGCAGGTTTAAGGTGCAGTCCTTGTGCATGCTTACAAGAGAGTAAGTCCCACTGAAACCAGCAGGGATTCCCTCTGAGTAAACATGGCTGGGATTGTGATGTGAGGGGAAGCATGTAAAAACATGCGTGTGTTTCCTCCTGGCTGAAAACAAACGTTGAACCCGAATGTGGGGGTTGACACTTCATGGGGGGGGGGGTTATTTGTTCCTTTCAAGCATTTTTACCTTGCTTCTTAATGCTAATTAAATAATGGATTATTTATTAAAATCTTGCTGAGATTCATTTTTCACGGCCACCCACAGCAGCTCTCTCAAAGACCTTTGGTGCAGCTTAAAATTTACGGACCTCGGTCCTTTCCCAGGGCCGGCATCTGACCTCTCTTTCCTCCCCTCTCAGGGTGCGGTTCCTCCTGGGAGGGCGCCATGGGGACTTCAAGTTCCTGCCCCCACCGGGCTACGCTCCCTGCTATGAGGCCCTCTTGCCCCGGGAGAAGATGCGTGTGGAGCCCATCAAGGAGTATAAGCACGACTTCAACGGGTTCCGGAATCTCCTAGGCCCTACACAGTCCCTGTCCCACACCTCCTTCACGCCCTACCCAGTTGACACCATGCAGGTAAAGGGGCTCGGTGTCCTTCAGCACCAGAAATTGGGAGAATGGGTCTGAGGCCAGAAGCTTCCCATGCATGCCCTCCCCTCCCCTCCCCTCCCCTCCATGCATGGTGAGATCCCAGCACACGGCCTCCCTCCCGGCTGATCGGAGATGCAAATAGAGGGGCACAGTTGAAATGAAGGGAGTACATGGGGCTGACCAAGCTGAGTGGACCTGGAGTGAAGGAGGGCTGTTGATCGATCTCCTGAGTATCAACCAGTAGCCAGTCGAACTTGCATGAAAGGGCATATGAGTAAAATGATATGGGGAAAAAAACCCATGCCTCTGTCTGTAAAATGGATGCATTTGTTGCAGCTGGCTCTAACGTGGAAGGAGGTATCTCTTCCAGTGTGAGGGAGAAGGGAGAACGCCTCTTCTTTAAGATGGAGTCTGCCACTCATTGTTCTTACAACATTTTGTAGAACAGTACTTAGGTTTTAAAAAAAATCTGCTGTTGGATTAGCAAGTGGTGGGGCACCCTTTTGGTCAATTAGAGGTGGTGATAAGGCAAGGCCTGCTAGGGTGAGAGCCCCAGAACTTGCCTTTGGCATCCTGCATCTCTGCTGTCCAAAGGCACTTGCTGCAGTAAAGGGACGGGGCTGTGTTGCATCCGATCCCCTCGGATTAGTTGGCTGTTCGCCCACATGCATTTCTGCTGCTCTCTCACTTAAGTCTTTCTGCCCAAGTGTTTTTCCTCTTGAAATTAATTGCTCTCTTCTCCCTCAGATTTGACCTGGGTCAGAGTAGCAGTCAGTCAGAATCTTTTTCTCTGTTTTGAAATTTTGGGTCAGAACTTTTCCACTACCGTTTTTCCTGTTTTGCAGATCGTATTGCCCCCACACCTTGAGCGGATCCGGGAGAAATTGGCCGAGAATATTCATGAGCTTTGGGCCCTGACCCGCATAGAACAAGGGTGGACTTACGGACCTGTAAGTGTTTGCTGCCCAGGAATAGGCCTGTCCTTCCCCTTCCTTCACCCCACCGCTGTCTCTGTCCCCATCGTCACCCACCTGCCATGGAACAAGCCAAGCTGGGTTTCTCAGCGGCAATGAGAAAAGACATCTGATGGGGATATTTCCCCTGAATTTGTAATCCCTCTTCCCCTTTTCAGATCCGAGATGATAACAAGCGCTTGCACCCGTGTTTGCTGGATTTTCATAGCCTGCCTGAACCAGAACGTAATTACAACCTGCAGATGTCGGGAGAGACACTCAAGTGAGTCGATCATGGAAAAGGTTCAGCAAAGACTCAAGTAAAATTGAAGCACGTCCACTGTCTTTTGAGAGGACGTGATCCACTCTACATGTGTAGGTCACTGGACAGGCTAAACTAGTCTGCACTTGGAAATTAAGTCCCGGCTGCATCAGAGAGCAGGAAAAAGCACCCGAGCCAGGCTGCCTTCAAGCAGCCTTCCCCAGCCTGGTGTCCTCCAGATTTATGAGCCTGGAATGCCCAGAATTTCAGGCCCAGCTGCTTGCCATCACTGTCCGCTGCCCTGAGGGGAGGGAGGGAAGAACCTCCCTTCTCGACAAGGGAACTTTATTTATTTATTTGGAACATTTATATGCCGCCCCATTCGCAACAAGCCTCGGGGCAGCTTCCAAAACTTAACCATCTCTGTGCGCTTACAGGACCTTGCTTGCTCTGGGCTGCCATGTGGGGATGGCAGACGAAAAAGCTGAAGAGAACCTCAAGAAAACCAAGCTTCCCAAAACGTAGGTGCTTTGGCTTGTCTACCAGCAGAGGCCAACATATAGTCCCAGTGCGTGTGCGCTTGCGCATCTGGATGCATGTGCATACATATATTGGCTTTGCGCTAGGGGTCAGGTCAGTCTTCTCCAGCCTCCCAGGGGCATTGAACTACAAGTCCCATCATCCCCAACCAGCCTGTGAGGCGTGGAAATTTCCCAAGGAGGTGGCAGCACAATCCCATATAGTTCAATGTCGGTTAGGTTGGTCTGAGTGGATTGATGGGGATGATGGCCTTTGGAATGTAGGCCTTGCTCTAAAGAAAGGGTTGGGGGATCCCTTTTATTTAATTATTTGATTTGTATCCTGCTTTGTCTTACAACAAATGCAGAGCAGCTGACATCATTCTCCCGCTGCTGCTCTCAGTCTTATCCCTACAGCAACCAGCCTGTGGAGGGGACAGATCACTCCTACCAGACGTCTGAACTGACCATTTGTAGAGGCTTTTGAGACCAGGCCAAGTCGCCTGACCCTGTTCTAAAGCCTTCTTTGTCCTTTTCCTTTATAGATACACGATGTCCAACGGCTATAAACCAGCACCGCTGGATCTCAACCATGTCAAGCTAACTCCAGCCCAGAATACCCTGGTGGACAAGTTGGCTGAGAACGGGCACAACGTCTGGGCAAGGGATCGTGTCCAGCAGGGCTGGACCTATAGTGTCATGCAGGTCTGGGATTCCAGCGGGATCAAACTTGGCATCACGCTGATTGGTGGGCTTCCAGGGCACGATGCAGGAAGTCGGTTCCTGGCAGGACTGGGTGTAAGAGGGGTGGAGCAGAGACCCTAATGCCAGACCACAAGTTTTGAAACTCTTCCGTTCTGAGGGCTGTATTTCAGTTCAGAGAAACTCTTGCATTCCAGGGATGGGCAGTGTGGAAGGCAAGTGGGCAGGGTAAAAAGTTCCAGCATGTTTTAGCTTAACTTTTCCTACCAGTACCTCGGCTTTTGGAGAAAGAGTCTGGCCTTTTCGAATAGCAAAAACGCACACACAAGCCACGCCATCACCAAATGATTGGTGGCTGGGGAAAGAGGGCTGAGGCCGGAGGACGGAAACGTGGCCTTTTGGAAAACCTTGCAGGACCAGATTTGATCACAGAGTCAGAAGCTCTGCACTCTTTGCCAAACCAGTGAGACCCAGGCGTGGGAGTTTGTGGCTTAAGGCAGAAAGAGATGTGTGAGCCAGGCCCCGTCTCCTTTTCACGCCACCTTCCTAGTTCAACATGCTTTGCCCTGTTGTTGTAGCTGCCTGTGTAGGGTGTGAAATGTGGGGTTTTGCTCAGCCTTTTTTCTGCCTCTCAGGACATCAAAAACAAGCGCAACCCCCGCCTGGTGCCGTACATCCTGTTAGACGAACGGACCAAGAAAACAAACCGGGACAGCTTGCGTGAGGCGGTGCGCACCCTCATTGGCTACGGATACAACATTGAGCCGCCAGACCAGGAAGCCAGTAAGCTCCATCCTGCCCTTCTGTCTGCCTCACTGGAAATGCTGCTGAGAGCAGGGGGAAAGAGCAGGGAAATTCCACCGACCTTCATGTGGCGCCTTGCTGTGGCTGCTCCTGCCTTCAGTGTGTTGCAGGCCTTCTCAGGGGTGGCACCTTTTTGGCTGTTTCTTTTGACTTGTTGCTGTTCTACTAGAGTAATTTCAGGGTGGGGTTTTCATTTCTCGATTTATGCTAGATAGCAAAGTGGGGAAAACATATTTTGCATCGGTGAAATGATAGCAGAGGGAAGCATACGTTTGCCACTTGGCTCTCTCTAGAAAGAAAGTGGCAGATCAGAGTTTGTGGAAGGTCCATCGGTAGATTATGTTTTTGTTTCACCTCTTGCCCTTTTCTTGGGCCCTGAAGCAGGTCAAGACCTGACCAAAAGCCGGTCAGAGAAGGTCCGCATCTTCCGGGCTGAGCAGTTCTATGCAGTGAAGTCGGGCAAATGGTACTTTGAGTTTGAGGCAGTCACCACCGGCGAGATGCGTGTGGGCTGGGCGCGGCCGAATGTGCGGCCCGACGTGGACCTGGGAGCGGACGAGCTCTCCTATGTTTTCAACGGGCATCGGGTGAGTCGAGGGGAACAGGCTGAATCCTCCAAGGGGAACCAGCTCTTTTCTGTTTCTCTCAGTTTCTTACCTATGCAGTCTCGGAGTTTCTCTAGCCTTTTGTCTTGTTTGTCCTGAACTCTGAAGACTTTTCAGAAGTATTCATATGAAAATTTAGAAGCTTTCTGCACACTTTTCTTCCAACACTTACTTTTGTGTGTGCGTGTTTGCCTAATGTAAACATTACTTACGAGCGGCTTTCCTAACACAATGCATTTTCAAACAGTATTTCCCCTAATATACGCATTTGATATGTGTTGTTGATTGGAGAACTCCATTGCAAAATCCAAACTTAGCTAAATCTGCATTAAAATATGAAAGTTAATTATATTAAATATATTCTACAAGTGCATATAGTGATATGAATACTATATGATTTCATATAGATTAAATGCATAATTTAATTTCTAGTCCCCTGGCCAGGTTTTTCTGATCTCGTTGCTTGTTCTTGAGACATCTCTTACTGCCTGCTCCCCTTCAGGGCCAACGCTGGCATGTGGGCAGCGAGCCTTTTGGGCGCCCGTGGCAACCAGGTGATGTGGTTGGCTGCATGATAGATCTCGGCGACAACAGCATCATGTTCACGCTCAATGGGGAGATGCTGATCAGCGACTCGGGGTCGGAACTGGCCTTCAAAGAGGTCGAGATTGGAGATGGTACGTGGGGGTAGCCAGACTCTCCTTCTCCGCTGGGCATGCGAGGATTGGACGAGGGACCCGGAGGTGGGTCTCACAGGTTCTTCCAGCAACAAGGACAATGAAACACTCCCATGCAACCTTTCCCACCCTGGAGCCTTGAGGATGTGATAGACTACAACTCATGTTGTCCAGAGCCCTCTGGTGGGGATATTGGGAGTTGGAGTACAACGCAACTGAAGGACACCATGTTGGGAAATGCTGCTCCGGCATTACAGTCCAGGAATGAGTTGGCAGGATGGGGGGGTCTACCATGTGGTGCCCATAGCCCCCCTTGTTCAGCTCAATATAAAAACCCCACAGAACAAAAGTCCAGATTACAGAGTGTAGGAGCCTTGGTCGCTACTGATCCTTCCAGCCCAGCACCTTCCGACCACTGACGCAGGTCTTTCGTAAAGATAATGGCCCCTCAGTGCCTGTTCAAGATCAAGCCACGACGTGTTGCTTTATGATGGGGAACGCTATTTATGATGGGAGCATTCTTCCCCACCCCCAGCTTCTGAGGAGGCAGGGAAGGATGACGGTGGGTGGGCGACCAGTGAGAAAGTGCCGGAGCTGCAGCTCTGCGTGCCCCAGCTACAGCACAACGCTGGGCAGAGCAGGGAGAAGGCGGGAGCCAGAGGAGATGCGGTCCTACCTCCTTTCCCCATCACTTGCAGGCTTCATCCCCGTTTGTAGCTTGGGCCTGTCCCAGGTTGGGCGTCTGAACTTGGGCCAGGATGTCAGCAGCCTTCGCTACTTCACCATCTGCGGCCTGCAGGAAGGCTTTGAGCCCTTTGCCATCAACATGAAGCGGGACATCACCATGTGGTTCAGCAAGAGCTTGCCCCAGTTTTCCCCTGTGCCAGTGGAGCACCCTCACTATGAGGTGGGTAGGAGACACGCCTCGGGACGAGCCGAACCGTGCCGGTTGCCTGCTTGCGAGGCGTGGTGTGCAGGGGGGCCGTTTTCTGTGCGTGACACCCCAAAGAGGCCTGGCTGCAGGTAAAGATCTAGATGGTGTCCAGGAGAAAAGAGCTTGTGAGCAAAACATCTTCTATGGAAAAGGAGCACTGGTCGGAGGGAAGCTGCAGAGTTGGAGTAGGAGGGAACTTCTGAGAGTAACTTGTGGCCTGGGAGGAAGGCAGGAGGCAGGAGAGCGAAACAGCTCCTGGGGGAATTGTAAGGAGAAATAGAATCACCGTTCCTCTGGAGGTGTAAAATTCCGGAGAGATACATAAGGAAAGAGGCAGGGACTGTGAAGAAGCCGCGGTGGTGAAAAGGGACCAGTTCTTGGAGAGTAGAAGAATTACACTATGAAATGGTGGTGTATGTGGGGTGCAGTTAGGGGCTGTGATGGAAGGTAGCTAGGTCTGCCTGGAAAGAGTAAAGGAGGGAGGGCTATTCGGAGACGTGGAACTGTGAGGCCAGACCTGCTGAGGGGTGAAGGGAGATCCATGGGCATTGCAGTCCATGGTCATTGATTGCGAATAAGTATTCCGTCATGGTGAGCAGGTATTCTCTCAAAATAATGCCTCTCCCATGACCGAATTTCTCATGAAGGAGGTTCTGGCAAGCCTCCAAGGAGTCCCCCGGACATAGCCTGACAACCCCCAGTGGAGGGTCCGCTTGATCCTGGTCCTCAGCACCACTTCCCACTCCGTGCTCCTCTCTCCCCCTCCGTCAGGTGTCGCGGATCGACGGCACCGTGGACAACCCGCCGTGCCTGAAGCTGACTCACCGGACCTTTGGCTCCCAGAACGCAGTGGTGGAGCTTCTCTTCTTGCGCCTCAGCATGCCTGTGGAGTTCCACGAGAAGTTCAAAATCGCCGCCGGAACAACGCCTCTCACCCACACGCTCACCATCCCTGAGGACGAGGTCAAGGACGTCGACCTGGATTCGGAGTTCGAGCAGCTGAAGAAAACTGCCAGCCGCAAAGAGGCTGAGGAGGCGGAGAAGGAGAAGCAAGGCCCCGCTCCGCCCACCACTCCCAAGGAGCCTCCCAAGGAGGCCTCCAAGGCTGAGAACGAGAAGGACGCCTCCACGGAAAAAAGCAAGGCCAAGCGCGGGTGAGGCCTCTTAAGGAAGCGCAGGCAGCCTTTCCCAGCCCCAGGGCCAACTGTTGCTCTCTCCCTCTCCCTCTCCCTCTCTAATTTTTATACCACCCAACACTTGAAGCTCTCTGGGTGGTTCACAACAGCGCATCAAAAATAACAATGAAAGATGCATCATATTAAAGCCTTCAAAGCATTAAAAGATGACGATGCAGATTTGAAAACCAAATTTAAAACAGATTGGTGGGTGTGTGTGTTTTAACAATCGAGTTTGGAGACACTTTTGGTCTGGCATTCCACTGAGGGGTAAGGCAAAAGGGGTGAAGCGAAAAGGGCAGCACGTTGTAGAAGGAAGTGCGTACGGGCAGCAAGTAAGCCGTTGGGGAGACATTTCTGCCTCCGGAATGGTGAAGTGTTGCACAAGCGCTGGAAAATCATCAAACGACTCTTTGGTTGAGGGAAAGCAGGTGGGACGAGAGAAGAGACATGGCCATCTGGGGAATCCCAGCAGGCTCAGTTAGAACCTGACAAGGTTCAGGAGTTCCTTGCCTGTCCTTTATGGGATAAGAAGGGATATGGAATCTTCTTTGCAGGTGCTATAAAGGGGTTGTAAAGGGGTTGTAATGGCGGAACTGACGTGTTCAGAACTGATGTTGAGATAAATTCTTAGACACCAAAAGCCCATATAAGTTTTTTAAAAGAAACAATCAAAATAATATGCACATTGGCTTTCCCAGCATGGGCAGTCTTGTGGTGAGCAAACGGGCACAGGTGTGAGAGAGGGAGCATCCTGTTGTGAGGGCTGCTGGTTCCTGCACCTGTTTTGCTGCCTTTGTGTAATTAACAGCTGGGGATATATATTTACTTGGAATAACTCCCACTGAGTTCATGGTTAGTTTGGCAGCTCTGGGGAAAACCGGGCAGGAGGTTTTGGATTGTGCATCGGCCTGCGCTTTCTGATAATATTTCCCCTCCTATCTCCAGCTTCCTGTTCAAAGCCAAGAAGGCCACCACTTTTATCACCCCGCCTCCCGTAGTACCCACAGTTCCGCGACTGGAAGAAGAGGTTGTTCCAGATGATAGAGATGACCCTGAGATCATCATGAACACCACAACGGTAACCAGAGCATGGCTCTTTGGAGGGTTGCTCGCAATCTTTGCTCTGTTCCAGAGCATCTGGTCTTTCCCCATGCTTTGGACCTACCGAAAAGAAATGAAAAAAACTCCACTGAGTTAACAAAACGCGTAGATGTTAGACCTTTCCGTTACCTTAATATCACTGACTATGGCAACCTTCTGCTTTCCTGGGATGGTCTTCTTGGTAAGAAAGTTACCATGGTCCCCGTTCTTGGAAAGCCACTCCCAGGAAGTGATCTGTTCCTGGGAGTGGCTTTCCAAGTGGGTGATCTGTTCTACCCTATGGCATTAAGCTTATGATGTGCCTCAGGGTTCAAGTGTACCGCACATGTTCTTCATCATCCACACGAACCTCATGGAAGGTCCTCTAGAAGATGTTTCACTGCACTGTTCCCACTATGCTGTTGGCGCCCCGCTCTGCCTCTTTCCCACCTTTGAATCCCAAGGGATCTGTGCTGGTCTTGAAAAGGTGCTCGGTCCATTACTGGGATGGTTGCAGGAGAACAAGCTGAAGATAGGATGTGGGTTGGAAGCTGAGCCAGTCCAGACGGAGCTGAAAAACAGGTCCTGGAGACTGAAGGCTCAGAGAGGCAGCTTGAGGACGATCCTGCACTCACTGCCATCTTCCGCCTGTGCTGCTGCCTGTGCACCTAAAAAAATGGTGACCAGGATCTCTTGACTTACATCCCGCCTCTCTTACTCTGTTCATCGTTTGCAGTACTACTACTCGGTGCGGATCTTTGCAGGCCAGGAGCCGACCTGTGTCTGGGTCGGCTGGGTCACACCTGACTATCACCAGCACGACATGAACTTTGACCTCACCAAAGTGCGCAATGTCACTGTCACCATGGGCGACGATAAGGGAAACATCCATGACAGGTGAGAGAGAGCCCGATGTGCTGAGCGTGAGGGACCTCTCAGAAATGGTTCCTGAGGCCTGTGGCTAGCTGACTGGAAGGAGGCAAGAGTTGAGACTGGGCCCGACTAGCCGTGGGGGGCACTGGAGCATGGGTCCTGGCGTGCCCCGTCAGCTCTCTCTCCCTTCGGCAGCATCAAGCGAAGCAACTGCTACATGGTCTGGGGAGGGGACTTTGTCAGCAGCACGCAGCAGACCCGCGTCAGCACCGTGGACCTGGTGATCGGCTGCCTTGTTGATTTGGCCACAGGCTTCATGAGCTTCACAGCCAATGGGAAAGAGGTCAACACTTTCTTTCAGGTGAGCAAAACCCTTTGATGGAAGGGCGGAACATTCCACAGAAGACTGGACCGTGAGTGGGTGCAGGGGGTTGGCAGGGGAGAGACTGTTCTTCACAGAACATGCCATATGTTAATGGAATGTGCTGCCACAAGGATTTCCCTCTTCCAAATAGATTTAAGCCGTTTTTAGACAACAGATCTATTAGTAGGTATTTAGTATGATCACCAAATGGGCCCTCCAGGTTCAAAGCCAGTTGCCTTTATTTTTGTGTTATATTTTTAATCTGTTCCATAACATATGTTTTTACAGCCACTTAACAGCAGTTAAAATGCAATCCAGGCAGTCACAAATATAAACTACAATGAAAATATTTAAAACAATAAACTGCAATACAGAGCAGCAAACCTCACAGGAATAGGTAAGGATATATAACAGCCTTGGAACACCAATGCTTGAGGCAAACAGCAAGGGAAATCCATAGTTTCCATGTCTTGCAGCAACCTCCCTAGAATCAGGGCTCTTCTTAGAAGCTTTTGAAAGATGTCGGGTGTCTTCTCCCACTGGAAGGCTCGCCCACTACACAAACTTAAACTGCTTTAAGACTGGGGAATGCTGAGAATTGAGGGACCTTTCCTGTCCAAACGTGCATAGGATTTCAGCCTTAACTGGTGTTCAGTCGGTGTTCTGGCATAGCAGCCTAATCTGTAATCCTATACCCATTTCTCTGGAATGGTATCTTTCCAGATACGGTATCCTGGAATGGTATCCTATACCCATTTCTCTGGAATGGTAAGACACAATGGGTCTTACTTCTGAATAGACATATATTTGGTAAAAACAAGTACGTAAATAATTGGCCAGCCCAGTATTCTGCCAAAATGATTTTTACATCTTTACCAAATGTTTCCCCATATTCCTGAGTAGAAAAAGACCTTCCCTGCTTCACCATGTATTTTCACTGTTTTTTATTTCTATTCCCCTCCCACCTCAGGTGGAGCCAAACACCAAGCTGTTTCCTGCTGTTTTTACTCTCCCAACAAGCCAGAACGTCATCCAGTTTGAACTAGGCAAGCTGAAGGTAAGCTCCACCTGCCCAACTTCAGTCCCTTAGAACTTGGGGCACTTGTTTTACGGGTCACTTCTCTATTCCGAGGGTCACTATTTCCTTTTGTGTCTCCCCCTCCTCCCCAACAGAACATCATGCCCATCTCAGCTGCCATGTTCCGCAGTGAGAGGAAGAACCCCGAACCCCAGTGCCCGCCTCGGCTTGTCATCCAGGTGCTGACACCTATGACCTGGAGCCGCATGCCCAACGAGTTCCTGCGGGTAGACGTGGCCCGTTTCAGCGAACGGCACGGCTGGATGGTCGAGTGCCTTGAGCCTAACATCATGATGGCCCTCCACATCCCCGAGGAAAGCCGGTGGGTTGCCCGTGTCCCCCTGCGGCCCAAGCGGAGCCGAGGGATCCATGTTCTGGGGTGATGCTTTGAGGGACACGCTCCATGTTTGCCTCCTTGGGACAGAGATCAGCCGTGATTTGGCCACTGTCCCCTGTGTCCGTGGAAGGGTTTAACAGGCAGATCAGAAATAGGTTTGTCCATCAAGAACCGGGCATTCGCTGCCTGCTCAGGACACGTGGAACCATGGCACACACGTGCCCAGGTGTTCATTTCTTTCCACTGCCTCCCCCCTTTCAGGTGCATCGACATCCTGGAGCTGTCCGAGCGTCTGGACCTGCTGAAGTTCCACTCGCACACCCTGAAGCTGTACTGCGCCGTGTGTGCCCTGGGCAACAACCGAGTGGCGCACGCCTTGTGCAGCCACGTGGATGAGTCGCAGCTGCTGTACACCATCGAGAGCAACCACCTGCCGGGCCTCCTGCGCAGCGGCTACTACGACCTGCTCATCAGCATGCACCTCGAGTCGGCCAAGCGCTCCCGCCTCACGATGAACAACGAATTCATCGTCCCCATGACGGACGAGACCAAGAGCATCACGCTCTTCCCGGACGACACGAAGAAGCCCGGTTTGCCCGGCGTGGGCATGAGCACCTGCCTCCGCCCCCCTCTGCATTTTGCAGACACCTGCTTCGTCAGCACCAGCTCTGAGCTGTACCAGTTGAGCCCTTCCATCCCCTTGGACATCCTGAAGGTGAAGGCCATCAACATGCTGACCGAGGCTGTCCAGGATGGCGGGCAGCACACCCGGGACCCGGTGGGAGGCAGCGTGGAGTTCCAGTTTGTGCCCGTCCTCAAGCTGATCTGCACCCTCCTCATCATGGGTGTCTTTGAGGATGAGGACGTGCGCCACATCCTCAAGATGATCGAGCCCAACGTATTTGGGGAGCCCAAGGAAGAGGAGGAAGAGGTGCCGGCGGGGACTGAAGAAGGAGAGGAGCAGGTGCCTGCGGAGGAGGAGGAGGAGCTGGAGGAGGAAGAGATGGCCGAGGCAGAGGAGGAGTTTGAAGAGGAAGCAGAGAAGGAGGCTGGAGGGGAGCAGAAGCAGGGAGCTGAGGAGAGGGAGCTGAAAGCCATCGAGGCTGGGGAGGCCGAAGTCAAGGAGGACGAAGAAGGGCTAGAGGAAGGCCTGCTGCAGATGAAGCTTCCTGAATCTGTCAAGCTGCAGGTAAAGCACTGGCTGAGGCACTTCCTTTCTCTGCCGGTCCAGCTGGCTTTCGGATCATCTCCAGTCGCTGTCAGCTCTCCTCTTCACACAGGGACAGCGGGCAGTTCCTTGCCCAGAGAATGCACTTCAACCCGCTGAGCCCCCAGGGATCCACCAGCCTGATCTTGGCAGAGCACCAGCTCTGCATGCAGGAGCCTCCAGGTCAATCCCCAACCTCTCTAGGCAGAGCTAGGAGAGAAACCACGGGGGGCTCCTACCGGTCCGTGCCAGCAACGGCGGGCTGGACGAAGCCCTCGTGCGACTCGGTGTGGGGCAGCTTCCTCTGCCGCATTCAGAAGCGGCTCAGGCGGCCTCCTTCCCATGATGATTGTGTTTGTGAACCATTCACAATGACTCTGCACTGCACCATTAGTCGTGATTCACAGTAATCCTACCCTGCAAGCTCACAATCTAAAATTGGCGGTCAGTCGGTGAGGAAATTAAGGCTGGGGAGGGAACCGGGGGGCAGTACAGAGTGATGGGTTCCACAGTGCATTCAGCCTACAGGGATGTTGCAGTTTAGATGCTGGCTTGTCGCGCCATTGCTCCTGCGGAGAGGGGAGTGTTCAGCAATTTCCTCCTCTGTTTGCCGGTTCCTGCACTGTGTCTGCATATCTTGCTATCCCAGCGGCAGATCTCAGGGGGTGCAGCTTGCTTCAGAAAGAAAGCGGGGAAGGGAGAGCCCTCTATTGCACGATGTGGGCTTTGTTCCATTCATGGAAGCAATGTGAGGATCCAAATTGATGCGTTTAAAGCGAAGAGCAGTAGAGGAGAACTTTATAACAGGCACATAAAGAGCTGAGCAGATGGCCTTATTGGGCCCATGCAGCTCTGTTATTGTATGCTTGCATGAGGAAAAGGACAAAGAGCAGAACTAGGGATTAAAATGCGGAAAGAACAGCAAGAAATTTTTGAGGAGCAGAAATGTCAAGATGAACTCAGGAGCCTTGATCTTTGAGGCAGGGGGGTGGGGGTCCTGGACCAGTCCAATTTGGGATGCCCAAACTACGTAAATGAACCGAGCCACTCAAGCTAGTTAGACACGTCCAAATTAGTAGGTCATGAGTTGTGAGCAGTACTCAGCTACTGAGCCACGCCAGAATAAGGTCTGTATGTGCCCATTCCATCTTGTGTCTCTGGTTATGAAAGTCATGCAGCCAGAATCGCCCCTTTCCTTCTGGTTGCTCTTACCCAGCAATAACTACGCTCCCCCCCCCCGCTTTCTCTCCCCCTAGATGTGCAATCTGCTGCAGTTCTTCTGCGATCGTGAGCTGCAGCACCGCGTGGAAGCCATCATCGCCTTTTCTGAGCGCTATGTGGACAGGATGCAGATCAACCAGCGCCAGCGCTACAGCACCCTGATGCAGGCCTTCACCATGTCCGCTGCTGAGACGGCCCGGCGCACTCGGGAGTTCCGATCCCCTCCACAGGAGCAGGTGCTGGGTGGGGCAGAGGGGGCAGGAGAGGTGGGGGAGCACGGGAGCATGAGACTACCGACTGGAAAGCGTGGACTAGGGGGGGGCACAGCCAACGGAAAATCCCCACTTTTTCTAGTGCTCGAATTTTAAAGGCCAATATTCTTTCAGAACACTGAGGAAAGCTCTGTGTGAGTGTGGACAGTAAGCCAAGCTGTCTCCCTACTCCTTTTCCGGTTTCTGGGTGAGAACAGAAGCCCTTTACACTAGTTCAGGTTTCACAGTAGCTGCTTCTGATTTTCTGCCTTGAGGTAATTGCTCATCACATCGTCAGCCACAGAACCATTGCACGTTACAGAGAATTCTGGAACATTGCTTATCGATTATTGATGTGAAGCATTTGTACTTTGCTTTTAAGTCAAAGGAGTCTTCTAGAGCAGCTTACAAAGAAATGGAGCAATGGCAGCACTTCCGGTAGCCTCTGGAAAGGCTGCCACTCGATGACAGTTTGGCAGACCCCAAGGAACCTGGTTTCTCGGCAGAAGTAATGGAATAGCCCCACTTCTCTTCTAACTCTCTGTTCTTCCAGCTCTACTGAAATATTTTTTTCCATTCTTCCCTCCCATTCTCTTTTTGCTTGTGTGTTGCAGCTTTTCCAATTCTAAAGCTGCAATTAAGTTTTGAATTTATTATATCTAAACCTCTCTGAGAGCCTTTTTGGCTTGGGAACAGCATAAAAATACTTCGAATAAGTAATACTTAACAAGTATTCAGCAAATAATGCCAGCTAAGTGCTGGACTGAATACAGAACAGAAGCTCTGCTCAGGGGCTCCAGAGTTTGCAGCCTGTATCCATCCATCCATCCATCCATCCATCCATCCTAAATTCTGTCTCCCCTTCACAACAGATTAACATGCTGCTACAGTTTAAGAATGGTGCTGACGAAGAGGACTGCCCGGTACCGGACGAGATCCGTGATGAGCTGCTGGAGTTCCACACAGACTTGCTGTCACACTGTGGTAAGGCGCATGTTCCCGTCACGCATCCTGAGATCCAAGGCACACGTTACACAGAATGAGGTGGTAGATGGATCATGCCACTTCAGACTGCAGGTGGGAGGGGAGATGGTCACATTTTGAATGTTCTTGTTTTCGAACAGTGTGTGTGTGTCCCCATATGTAGAAACTGAGCATGGCCCTTCCCTTGATGGACTCTCTGACTAGATGAGGGAATTCTTTATGTGGGCGAAGCATTAAAAATATTAGTCTTCAAGTCCTCCCACAGTTCGCAGTGGTACAGGCCAGCTACTATCTGATTCTGCTTAAGATATAGAACAGCACTTTACTAAGGACTGGATGGTGGAGAGCAGCATTACTGTCACCTTATTTTATTGTGCTGATAGTGTGTTGCCTCAGAGCACCCAAAGCCAGAACATGCACTGGAAGAATAGCGTGGAACTAATATCCATTATGCTTGATCTAGTCTTACTGTAATGCCAAGATTTGGTGTTTGCTGTGCCAAATTTATATACATTTTGTGCTAGAATTTTATAGTTCAATTCCCCGCAGGAAAAAATTCTGGGAACTGCTTATGGAACTCATCAGGCACCATTGCTTAGATTTTGCTCCTTCTACACAACTGAATGTACTTCTGCTATCTGTGAAGAGGGATGGGCAGCTGAGCAGAGCCAGGCAGACCCTGCCCCAGCCTTCCCCCAACCTGGGGTCCTCAGATGTTGGCTGAGAATTGTGAGAGTTGTAGTCTAACACACATCTCGAGTGCCAGGCTGGGAACGGCTACTCTGCCCCCTCACAAATGGAAGCCTGACTCGGCTTCCTTCGTGCAGTGCAAAGCACCCCTTTCCACGTTTTTCTTTGGCTCCATGGTGCGCCACGTACCAAATTCTGTATGTGCGCAACATGGGCTCAAGTACGCTTGTGCCTAAAGACCCCCTTGGATATCTGGTCTCGCTTGCTCGTGATGCGCACACTCATTGTTTCTGCACGTTCTCCAACAGGTATCCAGTCAGAGGGTGAGGAGGAGGAGGAGGAGGAAGATACATCCTTCCGCCGGCGGTTGATGAACCTGGTGGAGAAGGTGGTGAGCCTCCGCAAGAAGAAGGCGGACCTGGAAGAGGAACAGCCTCCGGAAGACAAGCCAAAGCCCAGTAAGTGAAGCTGAAGTGCCTGGAAGAGGAATCCGCGATTAAGGGCCTCTTTGGTGAGAATTAAGAGACATCGTGCAGGTCGGGCAGCTACTCGTTACTTAAGTTCCCACAGCCTGACCAGAAATATTGTCCAAAGCTCCTCATCAGAGGTGGCTTGATGCTGCCAGGACACAGCAACTTGACTGGCAGTGCTCCTGCCCCAGACCAAGGGGCAGACAGACCAGTGGGGTTTGGGAAAGAACAGAAGGCGGCCTTACCGTGTGTTTTAAAATCCCCCTGGTTGAAACGATGGGGCACAGCTGGAGACCCCGTGGCCCCTCCAAAGGTTGCTGGACTGCAGCTCCTGTTTTGGCCATAGGCCATTTTGCCTGGGGGTTATGGGGCGGGAGTCCAACAGCTTCTGGAGGGCCACAGCATTCGGGGAAGGCTCCGCACCCTCCTGTGCTAAGCACAACAAAGGGCAGCCCCACACAAGCACACTCAGACCGTGCCAGGAGCTGTAGGACACTATGCTTGGAGAGCACCAGGCTGGGGAAGGCTGGTGTGTGTGTGTGTGTGTGAGAGAGAGTGATTCATATTGGTAGGCAAAAGTCCCGTGGGGTTCCTGTGAGCCCTGCGGGACTGGACCAGAGTGGGATCCATCCAGTCCAGCAACCTGCTGCCTACAGTAGCCAGTCCGTGCCTCACAGAAATATACCGAAATAACCTTCCCTTCTGATTCCACGTCTTGCGCTGTCTTGCTTGCTCTGTAAGTGGCTCTCCAGCAGACCCCTTTTCTCCCGCTCCACACACAGGCACTCTGCAGGAGCTGATCTCTCACACCATGGTTCACTGGGCCCAAGAGTCCTTCATCCAGAGCCCAGAGCTGGTCCGGGTCATGTTCAGCCTTCTCCACAGGCAGTACGACGGCCTCGGCGAGTTACTCCGTGCCCTGCCGAAGGCCTACACCATCAACGCCAACTCCGTGGACGACACTATGAGCCTGCTGGAGTGCCTGGGCCAGATCCGTTCACTGCTCATCGTCCAGATGGGGCTTGAAGAGGAGAACCTGATGATTCAGAGTATTGGGTGCGTGCCTCCATCCCACGGGGAAGCTGCTTCCCAGGATTCCACCTCGAGGTGGAATGAGCTTGTCTGGCTTTTAGGATGCTCAGGGGAGGGCCTTCTCTGGGCACCAGCAGTGCATCACATGTTACGTCCTCTGAGAGGGATTTTCATGCCTGTGTTTCTCCTTGGCAGCAATATTATGAACAACAAAGTTTTCTACCAGCACCCCAACTTGATGAGGGCCCTGGGCATGCACGAGACCGTCATGGAGGTGATGGTGAATGTGCTGGGCGGAGGGGATTCCAAGGTAAGGACACGCGGCCTTTCCCCGGCAACACGGGGCCATATTTGGGGCCACTACTGGGGCCCCGTGTGTAAACCCGTTGGACTATGGGTACATCAAATACCAGCTTTCTGGACGGCCTAGTTATTAACTATTTTGCAATACAATTTTTGTCTTCCTTCACCACTTCTGTTTCCACGTTAAACTTCTTTTAGTAAGTACTGTCTCTTGACCTTAGTATATATCCAATCCAGCTTTCTGTGTAGCGTGGAAGTCCCTCGGCCAATTTTGAGTCCTCTGTTTTTGGGGACAGTTTTGTTGCTGCTGAAGTGCAGTTCCCAATTTCTCCTAGCAATTCAGATGTCCTGGAGAACAGGCACGCCAAGTTCCAGGGCTCTTGCTCATCCAGGAGGGTCCTCACAACTTACACATGGAGCCGTGAGTGAGCGCACAGGGTGAGGGGCTGCGGCCTCAGCCAGTCTCAGCAAAGGCACCCAGGAAGCTCTCTTGTGCCCAAACAGGAGATCCGCTTCCCCAAGATGGTGACCAACTGCTGCCGCTTCCTGTGCTACTTCTGCCGCATCAGCCGCCAGAACCAGCGCTCCATGTTCGACCATCTCAGCTACCTGCTGGAGAACAGCGGCATTGGGCTGGGTGAGCTCCGGGCTCGCTCTGGGGCAGGGTGGGGAGGATCGCTCTGCAGAGGGGACTGATACCTGCAGCACTCGCTGGCCTTCCTCAGGTCAGCGCGGTTGGATCTCTTTCAGTCCAAGGGCCTCACTGCATGTCAGAGATGTTCTCAAGGGGCTTCCTTCGAGGTCTTGGGCAAGGCTGAAGGCAACGCGAGGCGGGCCCGAAGGCAAAAGGGGTGGCCACCCGTTCTTTCAGCCAGCATGTCAACCTGTTTCGAACCGGGGGTGTGGAGTGCAAAAGCCGGGAGACCACCGGGCAAACGGTGGTTGGGAGAACAAGGGAGGGAACCAGGGAGGGGGAGTGTGGCCTTCGAGGGAATGCCAAAAGGTCAGATTAGCTGCAGCCCTGCCATAGACTGACGTATGTTGCACTGAAAAATTTGAGAGAGCAAAAACAGATGTGCCAGTGCAGAGCCAGAAAGAGAGAGCAGAAGGCAGTTTGAAAGGCTGGTGCCTACTCATGGGGGCAACCTGCTTTTGCCTCTGGGAACCAGGTTGGCCAGTTATTCAGTATTATTTCAAATACCTGCCAACCCTTTTTGGCTATGGTTGACAGTGGGATACCAGAAATGGGTATGAGCACCATGGGGGAAGAAGGTGGGATCTTGTGAGCCTTTCAGCAGGGGGATTGAGATGTTGTCCCCATACAGGTGAAAGGTGCTCCTTCGTTTTCATGGGTGTCCTTGTGCTAAGCACTCTGAAATTTTGACTTGTGGCTATCAAAAATACTTTGGCGGAGTTTTTAGCCTAAAAAAAGTCCAAGCCGCTAAAGAAGACCAACCTTTAAAGCCACTTCTGTAAAATTAATGTGTTCTCTCCCTCCCGCATTTAATTTTGCCTGCGTACCGTTTGCCTGGCTCCTCTAGGCATGCGTGGATCCACCCCCTTGGACGTGGCCGCTGCGTCTGTCATTGACAACAACGAGCTGGCCCTGGCTCTGCAGGAGCAAGACCTGGAGAAGGTAGTCTGCTTGGCGGGAAGGTGGCCGAATGTGGTGTGGGTGGGAAGCTGGGGCTGAGGAGCAGCCTCGGGCCTTTTGGTGCCCCTGGTGGGGCCAGCGGGCACTCCCTCTGGGGCTCCACCTCTCCCTCCTCCTTCCCCTCCCGACTCATGCTACTGTTCCCTGGTCTTCTTCAGGACTGGCTTCAAGGCTAGGCATGGTTGGGCCTCTGTCGAAGGCCCCCGTCCCAGGAGGGTGCAAGGGACAAGGGCCCCCTGGAACTGCTCCTCCTCCCCATTGCACCCCACTTGCTCACACCCCCCTTGTTTTTGTGCCCTTGAAGAGAAAAGGGAGGAGGAGCAAGAGTGGCTGATGATGGCGAAGGTGGGAAGATGGTGGCAGGGGCCCAGTGAGGGTGCATGGCCCAAGTGCCGCAGAAACGTAGAGCCAGCATGGCTTCCGTGTGCCTCAGCTGCTCCCTGCGGTCAAAACGGGGGGCTGCAGTCCAGGCGGTCTTTGGTCCTTGTAGCAAGGAGGGGTGCCGGCCCCTGTGTGGTTGCCCAGCAACCACCTTCTACCTCTTCCTTCCCGAATGCCAGTAAGCCAGAGCAGACCGTGTAAATGATGCCCCGGGCAACCAATATCTGTTGCCGTTTGATTTTAAAGAATGCCACCCTGGCAGTCACAGGCCGCCTCCATTGCAATTGGCACCACCAGCTTGCAATTGTACCTTAGCACCAGTTGTGAGTGGAGAAACTTTTTGAAAGTCTGCGATAGCAGATTATTCCAGCCATGGGTGCGACTTCTTTGCTAGGGTCACATGGCTAGAAACTGACTGAAGCTGAGGTTTTGACGAGCGCGCTCTCCTTGCCTCCGCAGGTGGTGACCTACCTGGCCGGGGCTGGCCTTCAGAGCTGCTCCATGCTGCTCTCCAAGGGGTACCCGGACATCGGCTGGAACCCCTGCGGGGGCGAGCGCTACCTGGACTTCCTGCGCTTCACTGTCTTTGTCAACGGTAAGACAGGCAATGCATGGAGTCTCATTATGGGAGTATTAGAATTGTTGTCGCGGCACAGATTATGCCGAGCTGAGAAGGGCAAAGGAAAGCTTTTCCTACAGTGCCCCCTCAGTGCAGAAGGGGGCTAATTGTATTTTTTCTCTCTTCCTTTGGCATCTTTATGTCCAAGATGGCACCTTTCCAGGAGGTGTTGCAAAAGCTGGATACAGGGGGGTAGAGTGCAGCAAAAACCATCAGGCAGGCATACAGTTGGTTTTGGGGCCCTCGAAAAGGATTTATGAATGGGATGGCGGTTGCTCATAAGGACCTAGATTCCTGGCTGTCTACTAGCTGGCCAGGGGTCAAAATCAGCCTCATCAAGGGATTCAGACTAGCGCAACAGGTCTGTGTCCTCTCTCTCGCCCTTTTGGAAGCCTGCCCCAGACCTCATCCGGATTCGGAGATGGTGCTGAGCACACTGTTTGCAACATCTAAGCTTTGTATCACAACCATGAGAACCACAATCCTTAGTCTGAGAAAGCAAATTAAAGCATACATGAGCAAAATAGCAGGTTTTGCGCTTCTGGGGCAAAAATATACCAAGCCCGAGTGGCACTTCCTCCACCAGCCCTCTTCTCTGGCCCACATTCCTTCTGCTTCCTAGCTTGTACTTATTTTCCTTCTTGGTATACACATTTTTGCATCCTGGCTCATGCAGTCACTTCCTTTGTCTCCCTGATCCTGCCCTATTCGCTCTTTCCACAGGTGAGAGCGTAGAAGAGAACGCCAACGTGGTTGTGAGGTTGCTGATCCGGCGTCCTGAGTGCTTTGGCCCTGCCCTACGGGGTGAGGGTGGCAACGGGCTGTTGGCGGCAATAGAGGAGGCCATCCAGATCTCCCAGGATCCGGCCCGGGATGGGCCTACCGTCAAGAAAGACCGCCGTCGGGAGCTGTGCGTGCAGAGGAAGGGCGTGGGCGCTGTGCACGGTTGTGGGGAGAGCAAGCCCACTGCGTGATGTTGCTGGGCAGGAAGCAACCCCCAAAAGACCCTGGCCTTGAGCCAGAGGGTATCCAGTCCAGCTCCTGTTAAATTGTGAGGGGGCTTGGAGCGAGGACAAACATGGTCTGCGCCATGGGGCCAGCAGGAGCAGAAGCCTTTCTTGTTCAGAGTAGGAAACGGGTCTGACCCAGAAGCTCTTGCAGGCTGTGGGGGGACTGGGAGCCTTGCCCAGCCGGCCGCAGCTTTCTGCCGCCATCAGGGAGCTGCCTTCTGGCCCCGTGGCAGTTCCTCCTCCCGAGTCCTGGGCAGACCCTTGCTTGGCATCCCTCCGGCTCCCTTGCTGCAAGTTCTTCCTTTTGGCACTTGCTTCATCCACTTCAGGGCTGAGCTGCAGCACTGAAAAAATGAGAGCCCAGCCTCAGATTAAGTCCCTGGCCTGGGCCTAAAGCGGAAACTGCCTGCCCCCCTCCCCTTCCCTCCCCACCTCTCCTCTCTTTCCCCCTCCACCTCCCTGAATGCTGGGAACCTGGTGCCTTTTTTAAAAAGAGAACAAAGCAAGCTGAGGATTTGGATATTTGGACGGTGGCACAATATTGTGAGCAGACGGCCGTGCTCACCCTTCCGCACTGTGATTGTTGTGACCAGCTGCATCTTCACACGCACTTCCCGACATGAGTCCACCCCTATCTCCAGCCCCTATTTTTGGGACAGACACCATTATTTTGCCCCCCCCCCACCTCCGCTGCATGGGTGGCTGATGCTTGCACCTCCCTCTCTCCCTTCTCTCTCTCTCTCCCAGGTTTGGGGGAGAGGAAACACACGAGGAGAACCGGGTGCACTTGGGCAATGCGATCATGTCCTTCTATGCTGCCCTCATCGATTTGCTGGGGCGTTGTGCCCCCGAGATGCATGTAAGCACCCCCCCAACACTCCCCTCACCGTCCTCAACCCAGGGATAACCCCCCCCCCCGACTGAAAGCCCCTGCATGATCTGAGCATCCGGTGCATCACACCCAGCACTGATCCCACCCACCCTCCGGAACAGCCCGCAGGTGGCGCTCGCCTCTGGCTTCCTCTCTTCTCATGCTGAGGTTGGATCTGGCAGTTACCCAGTCTGTTCACTCCTTAGACCTTGCCTTCTATCTCAACAGCTCATCCAGGCCGGAAAAGGCGAAGCCCTCCGGATCAGGGCCATCTTGCGATCCTTGGTGCCCATTGAGGACCTGGTTGGCGTCATCAGCCTCCCGCTGCAGATTCCTTCATTCGGCAAAGGTCAGGTGACCGGGTTGGCCCAAGACGGAATCCCAGGAGATCTAACTGCTTGTCCTGCAAAACCCTTTTTCTAGGCCTCAGTGACCCTTGCCTCTGCACCTACTGCTCCTTCCTCTGCCTCTCTTCCTCCCTGCCCGCTGCCCCCAAGCTGGCTTCAGGAAGCCTGGCTTTGCACCCGTGTCCACTTTAGCTGCTCCTAAAGTTGCACTTCTCCGCGACACAGCCTGGGTGTGGAACCTCAGGCCCGATCTGGCCCACTCGTTGCCCCAGCAAAGTTTGCCGGCCTTTGAGCTGTTTGTTCCCCACTTGGAAAAGGCTGGGATACCAGCAGCTAAAATGTCAGGTCGAAATGTGCTAGTATTTTGGCCCCCTCCACATGGCTTTGCTGCCCTCTCTCCTTTCAACCATGCCCGCCTGGAATGCGCCTCCCAAGAGCATCTCAGAAAGGAATTTTTTCTTGGGGTCCAACTCCCCTGCTGCTGCTTAGGGTCTCCCACTGCTTGTCATAGATGGCAGCGTCATCGAGCCCAAGATGTCTGCGAGCTTCGTGCCCGATCACAAGGCCCCCATGGTGTTGTTCCTTGACCGGGTCTACGGCATCGACAACCAGGACTTCCTGCTTGACGTGCTGGAGGTCGGATTCTTGCCTGACATGAGGGCAGCGGCCTCGCTGGACACGGTGAGCGGGCCCGGGGGGAACAGGGCCCGGGGGAAGGGCCTCGCATCGTTTCTCCAGCCCAAATGATGGACTGAGGGGTGCGGGGGATGGGATGTGGAATATCCTTCCTCGTTCAGGGACGTTGCTGGGGGAGGACTTGGATGGGAGGCCCACCTGTGGGAGGGGCGCTGTGAGTCACTTTGTACTGAGAAACACCCACTGCAGTGGCCTGATCCTAGGAACGTACGCAGCTGCTTTTATATCATGTCGGACTATCTCTTTTTGGAGCCTAGGATGTCTTGTTCTGTCTGGAAGTGGCTTTCCAGGTTCTAAGGTGGAGAAGGGACTTTCTCGTCTCTGCAGTTTGAGCCTTTTTAACTGCCAGGGATGGAGCTGGGATTCCACCCTCTCTGCTCAACTATGCTAGGGACATTCCCCTCCTCCTGTCTATCCTGCTACCCCTCCTGGCGGTATTTTCCCATCTGGAGTCATTACTTTGAGAATGTGTTGCTTTGTTGCTTGCTTGGTTCCAAAGATACAGACTTCGTTGGGCATGGGCACAATAGCTAGAAAGCCACGATTTAGTGCACATTCTCTCTTGCCTGGCCATATCGAATTCCTTCCGATCAAGACACTCCGGTGCCGTCCAGTCCAAGGCACAGCTGAACAAGAGCCCTGGGCTGAGCTGCTTTCTCTCTTCCTGCTTGAAACGGTCTCAGACCAAGGCCAGGCGGAGCTGCTCTGCCAGTCCGAACAGAAGTCTGAAGTTGACAAAGGACCATGGGATTCTTCTCGCTCGCTCTTCATGATTCTTTGATTGGGGGTGGAGCGGGGGGGTGCCTGGAAGTGATTCCTGGGAGTTCTCTATACTCATCAAAGACAAAGCTGAGCTGAAAACTACTCCAGTCCAGATGTGCATGGGACCAAAGGCCCTGGCCGCACCTTCCCTCCCAAAGGCCCCTTCCCTTCCTAACCCCGCCGCCCGCTCCTTCCACCGCAGGCGGCCTTCAGCACCACGGAGATGGCGCTGGCCTTGAACCGCTACCTGTGCCTGGCCGTGCTGCCGCTCATCACCAAGTGTGCGCCGCTCTTCGCGGGCACTGAGCACCGGGCCATCATGGTGGACTCCATGCTGCACACCATCTACCGGCTCTCCCGCGGGCGCTCCCTCACCAAGGCGCAGCGGGACGTCATCGAGGAGTGCCTCATGGCCCTGTGCAGGTATGGGGGGAGACCCGGAGGGACCCCCCCCGCTTTTGGGGGGTCTGTTTGGTGCTCTCACGCAGTGGCCATTCGCAAAACTGGCACACACCACCTGTCGTGAAGCACTTGTTTTCAGAAGGGTGGAACTGAATGACAGGTGGCCCAGCTGGAGCTCCAAAGCACGAAACTGCTCTTAAACCCAACTCAAGGTGGGGATGGAGGGCAGCCCTTCACTCTGCTGCCCTGCCAGCCTCCCAGTTGAAAAATAGAGAAGTCCCCTTAATGAATAAGAGAAAACTGCCCTCAGCATTCAGGCCCTTCCTCCTCAGCGTGCGCTATCGCAGCCACCGCAGCTCTTCCTTTCTTGGGCCTTGCTGCTCATTTTCTGTGTGCCGCTCTTGCAGGTACATCCGGCCCTCCATGCTCCAGCACCTCCTGCGCCGGCTGGTGTTTGATGTGCCCATCCTCAACGAATTTTCAAAGATGTCGCTCAAGGTGAGCACCCTGTGTGGGCTGGAGCACGGCAGACTTTTTGGAGGATAGAAGCGATGCTCTTGAAAGGGTGCTCTCTCACTAGCTATGATTCTTTCTATCTTCCCTCGACTTGTCCAGCTCCTGACCAATCATTATGAGCGTTGCTGGAAGTATTACTGCCTTCCCACTGGCTGGGCTAACTATGGAGTCACCTCTGAGGAAGAGCTCCACCTGACCCGCAAGCTCTTCTGGGGCATCTTTGAGTCCTTGTCCCACAAGGTGAGGCATGCACCTACCTTTGCTGTCAGGTATGGCAGGGGTAGGGCTGAAAACCAATTTGGGAAGGGTCTCAGGGGCTGCAATCCACCAATGAGTGAGGCCAGAGACATGCAATTCCTATCAATTCGGACATTTTCCCACCAAGTGTACGAAAATGCTACATAAGTTACTCAGGAGTAGACCTTACTGTAATAGCTTTCAGACTTGGAAAGCAGACCTGAGTTCTAAGCAAGTCTACGCAGGGCTAAACTTCAGTGTGACAGCTTCCATGTTCTCAACAGCTTGATTTGATGCAGATTATTTCAAGCTTAATTGTGTTTGCAATCTGTCTTATCTCTTTGCTGATTGGAGTTAAGAGCAGGGGAAGCTAGCCAACTGGGTGGGGAAACCCCAGGGCCCATGTTGCCTCAGGCCTATGCATGGGAGGCTCTCCATTCCTGATGCAGGGTAACTGGGATGAGCTGGGAATAGGATACCAGTTGGTGAGTGGCTGGAAGACAGGGCATTGATGCTGAGGCGCTGGCCCCCAGTTCCCAGATTTCAGCCTGTCGCTGCTAAATATGGGGCTGGGGGGAAAGCTAGAATATTGTCAGCATTTGGGGGCCGAATGGGCTTGCTTTGTCTCTCTGAGTTTCTTTTCTCCCTCTTCCCTGTGTGTTTCCTTCATGACGTCCAGAAATTTGACCCTGACCTGTACAAGCTTGCCATGCCCTGCCTGTGTGCCATCGCGGGCGCCATCCCCCCTGACTATGTGGACGCCAGCTACTCCTCCAAGACCGAGAAGAAGGCTTCCGTGGACGCCGAGGGCAACTTCGACCCCAAGCCAGTGGAAACGCTTAAGTGAGTGAAGGCTGCAGGAAGAGACGTGGCTCCTCAAATCCAGGCCAAATGCGTGTGCTCATGAAGTCGTCACCAAGGGCAGGCCTGGAGTCCTTCCGTGAGAGGAAGGGGAAAGGGCTAGAAACTTCCTTTCTAAGGAAAAAATGGGGAAGCCGGTGTTCTTAGGATAATCGGAGAGGTGATGCACACAGATAGTGTGGGGGAAATTACGCACAGCTTTGTTGTAGTGCCTCTTAATCCTTACCCAGATCTGACACCTTTCTGGCCGTCTTTGTACTGTCCAGGGCCCCCATCTTTTCTTGTTTCAGACCATAGCAGGAAAGCGACCTTACATAGGAGAAATCCTGGGGATTTGCAGTGGAAAACCCTAAAATTTAAAGTCTAGCACGAGGCTTAAAGACAGATTCCTGCGTCCGTTTGCTGCTGTGGCAGAGCAGGGCCCCGGCTGTTGTGCCCGCTGGCGCCCAGACTCTAAACGCCCTTTCTTCTTTCGAACAGTGTGATCATTCCTGAGAAGCTGGACTCCTTTATCAACAAGTATGCCGAGTACACTCATGAGAAGTGGGCCTTCGACAAGGTAGGGAGCACTTGTCCCGCTGCGCCGGTCGGTGTAACTGCCACGTGGCTCCAGGTGTCCCTTCGTGGTTCGGCTTGGAGCAGATACGCGTGTTCATCATCTCTTAACTGCAGATCCAGAATAACTGGTCCTTTGGGGAGACAGTCGACGAGGAGGCCAAGACAAGCCCCATGTTGCGGCCCTACAAAACGTTCTCGGAAAAGGTAATGTGCGTACCGCAGCCTACCCCATACGTCAGAGGACTGCTGCCCAGTTCTCCACATCCAGCTGCGTGTAGGAAGCAAAGGCCACTAAACCTGAAATTTAACAGCTCTGTCGGACTAAAATCTGAAATGCATTTTTCAGAATTGGCTCTTGACAAATGAAAACTTGAGCCTTCTTGAAAAAACATTTTAAGGCAGTAATATGCAGTCTTGTTTTGCAAGTCAATCCTTTATATTTCAGCCCAATCCGATGTCTAAATCCAGCGGGTTCCAAGGGATGTTTTGACCCTTTCTAATTAGGAGATATACATTGAATTCCCTTTTGCAGCATCATTTCTGTGGCAAAAAAAACCTCAGCAAGTTCTATTGCACGCTTAACAGGCCATTGGAGTATCCTGATAGAGAGCCCCCTCAAACTGGACTTAACTGGACTTAAACTGGACTGTGTTGTTTGAAACGGGATGGACCACTCCCAGTGTGTCCCTGAGCACCCCGTCTCGGTCTTCATCTGAAGTCTGCTTCCTGCCCTTCTCCACCCATCATTCAGCTTCCTGTTCTTGCTCCTCTAGGACAAGGAAATTTACCGGTGGCCTATCAAGGAATCCCTGAAGGCCATGATTGCTTGGGAGTGGACTATTGAGAAGGCACGTGAAGGTGAAGAAGAGAAGACGGAGAAGAAAAAGACTCGCAAGATCTCGCAGTCCGCCCAGGTTTGTTCCAAGCTGCTCTTGTGGGGAAAAGAATGTTTGGAATGGGAACTCCGGTTCTTCAGCGTGGCCTCTGTGCCCACCCCAGCCACTCCACCCCAGCCACTCCACACGCCCACGGAGGCGGGTTCCACATGCATGTACACACTTGCAAAATCTTTCCTTGTGCAACGGAAAAGCAGCTGGTGGGAAAACAGCCAGCAGGTGTTTCTGTGTAGTTTGCTTCTTTGTCCTGTTTCAGGCAGGCTCTTAAAACCGTTCCATGTTTTACGAGTGCCGTGCCGTGCCGTGCATGCTCGGGCAGAAAAAAGAGCCACAGCTCCCAGCCTACTAGGAACCGTAGGCCTTTTTCTGCCTAAGCACGCACTGGGTTGCACATTCCATCTCTTACCCCATGCTCTGTTTTTCTGCTCATTCTTTTCTGCTCTCTGGTTCTTTTCTGCTCTCGGTTTTTGTTGTTGGTGCTGATCTGAAGTCGTCAGAGAAGGAAATAGTCAAGCAAGAGCTGGAAACCAGAGCCTGGGGCTTCCAGTGAGTGCCTCCAGTGCCAAAAAGAGAGTGGCTTGATAGCTTAGAGGGGGCAGGGCCCGTCTGAAGCCAAGCACTTAATTTCTTCATGCAGCTCTGGGAAGGAATCGAGGGCAAACTCATGAAAAGCTGTGGAACCGGTCGGCTTTCTAAGGAATCTGACTCCATGTGCATTAGGAGGCATGAGGCCGGTTTGAAAGTCTGTTTTTGGTTCTTCCTTAGACCTATGACCCCAGCCATGGCTACAACCCCCAGCCCATAGACCTGTCTGGAGTGACCCTTTCCAGGGAACTGCAGGTAAGTTGGCGCAAAAAGGAGCTGCGGGCACGGCCTGCCTGTCGCTTTGCAAGCAGAAGATGCACAAGCTGCCATCAGAAGAAATGTCCCAAATAGAGGATATGTGTTTCGTGAAACACTGCATCTTTTCACAACAGTATTGCACTTCTGAAATGTAGGGAGGATGTACTTTTTGACTTTGGGCAGTAGGGGAAAGAGGGAAATGAACAGGCAAAATGGACTGTGTCAGAGCGAATGAAGTTCAAGACTTTGAACTTCCCCTGCTTCTGTGTCAGGTTCTGCACCGATTTTAACATGGCCTTTCACATAGTTCTTTCTTTGTTTCTGACAATGTTCAGAATCCTTGCTTATTTTCATGATTGTTTGTCTCTTCTGCCATGAGAGTTAGAAACTTGGCTGTCTGGTTCTTAGACACTTTTGACCTTATTTTCCACCCATCCACTGGTCTTCTGCACAGGCCATGGCAGAGCAGTTGGCTGAGAATTATCACAACACCTGGGGGCGCAAGAAAAAACTAGAGCTGGAAGCCAAAGGTGATTCTTCCATCCTTCTCTGCCCCTCCCTCACAACGTGCTGCTGCTCTCGCACAACCCCTCTCAGGCTTCATGCTGCCTCTTCCTTCTTCTCCCTCCCCAAGGGGGTGGCACCCATCCTCTGCTGGTGCCTTACGATACACTCACGGCCAAGGAGAAGGCACGCGACCGAGAAAAGGCTCAAGAGCTGCTCAAATTCCTGCAGCTTAATGGCTATGCGGTGACAAGGTGAGCCCGACAGGAGATGCAGAGTGCCCTGGGGCGTGTGGACAGGTGTGGACGCGGAGCAGGTGTTCTTCATGGGTCGTGGTACCCACCTGCTCTGTGCCACATGCCACACACCTGGGGAAAGACCTGGGCATCCCCATCCTTGAAAGGGAATGAATTGCCTGCCAATCCCAGGCCGAGCCTGAGGAGGTGGGATGGGAACCACGTTCCATTCGGACCGGGGGACCCTAATTGGAGAGGCTTCCTTCTCACATAACTACAGCTCCTGGGGTTCCCTGGGCGGATGCCACGGGGCCTTCCTGATCAGGCTTGGCCTGTTGCTTTCACATGACTGTACTGAGTGTGCTCAAATACGTGGGGGTGGGCAGGGGGCCAAATTGCGTCATCTTCCATTTTTCGCCTGTCTGTGCTATTCTGTCGATTTTTCAGTCATTTTTCAAGCTGCTGAAAGTCAGTTTAGGAAAAGATGGAATAGCAACACAACAGTGCAAGCATCCTTTTGCCTGGAAGCACCTTATGCCTGCTGAATGACTAGGATTTCATTGAAATTTCATTGAAAATGGCCCTTATTTCGAAACAGCCTTGGAGGGGAAGGTCTGGAAGGATCTTGCAGTGCTCCTATGTATTCTGTGTCGTCCCTTGCCCGGTTTGAGCACTCAGCATCTCTGGCAGTGCCCTGAAGGCAGGGATAGGTCCTGTGGTACCTGCTGGCAGCAGTTTGCCCTCGGACAGGTGACTTATCACCTATCAAGTTGCTTATCCTCCCCACCTTTTTTTCCTTAATGAACTCGTTTTGTGGCTGGCAGCTGGGATAATTGAATTTCTGCCAGAGCTGAAAACTCTGAGTTCAAAAGAGTTGTTCAGTGTGTTGGAATCCAGACCCCGTTCCTGCCGTGTCCGCAGGCTCTTCAGGTTATTTGCCCCACTTCCCAGGGCAGTCATTTTGCGACAATGCCCAAAACCATTTGAGAAATGGCCAGATGTGCCTGTGGCCCCTGAAAGGCTGCCCGCCGCCGTTTGCCTGCCCAGACCTGTCTTCCTACTACGTTGCCCTTGCTCGCCTTGCCATTTTTCACAGGGGATTGAAGGACATGGAACTGGACACGTCATCCATCGAGAAACGCTTTGCTTATGGGTTCCTGCAGCAGCTGCTGAAATGGATGGACATCTCTCAGGAGTTCATTGCCCACCTGGGTAAAAGAGCTGCTGTTATTTGCTTCACAAAAGCTGTCTTAGAAACCCGTCATGAGCTGTGCTGCAGTTCGGACTCACACCCTCTGTGTGACCCATTTGGGAGAGGAGCGGTGCCTTGTTCGAGAGCACCCAGTCAAGCTGGAATTCAGGGGTTCCCTTCTGGTTTGAGGAAAAGAGTTCGAGATTTCGCTGTCTAATAGGGTCAGGAAATTTGAGCTGGTTCTGGATTCTCTTTTGAGGCCAGCTGATCCTTGAGTGCAGGCCCGTTTAATTGCCCGGGCACTGCAGCAGGGGAGAGAAGGCAGTGCGGGTGGATGGAAGTGCGAGTCACCCATTCCTCACGCTGCTCGGTGGGCTCACTGGGACTCTTTCCAACGCAGAGGCCGTGGTGAGCAGCGGACGGGTGGAGAAATCTCCCCATGAACAAGAGATCAAGTTCTTTGCCAAGGTTAGTTTCTCTGTCTGGGGTTTGGCACCGGCTCGGACAGGACCCAGCCGCAGAGTGTCCCTAAATTCTGTACAGCAAAGCGCAGACTTGGCCCCAGGTGGGTGTTAGCGAGCAGGACTTGGGACTCATGGGCCTTTTCGGCCCTGTAACCCTTTGCCTCTTTTCAGATCCTGCTGCCCCTGATCAACCAGTACTTCACCAACCACTGTCTTTACTTCTTGTCCACGCCGGCCAAAGTCTTGGGCAGTGGGGGCCATGCCTCCAACAAGGAGAAGGAGATGATCACAAGGTGAGGACCAGAGCATCCCTGAAAGGCCTGGCTGTGCGGCGCGTGTGCGCTCACGCACGTGCCCGTCAGCTCACACACTAAATTTTCCAAGTACATCTTAAATATGCACCTTAACCAATGAAGTCTGGACAGCAAAAGAAGACAAACTTGCAAATGTGTTGATTATACACATGTACCTATTCTGAAAGATCTCACATATCTCAGCTCAGTCATCCATCAAAGGGAGACTGTAGCCAAGAAATTTGAAGAAGGTGGAGACTTGGAAAAGTGGCAGTGAAGAACCCAGAGGAAATTGTCACGTGCGAGGTCAAGATGGTCCACATTATTTTATTCCCAGTCAAAATCTGTGGGTTTGAAAGCTGGATAGTGAAGAAAGCAGACAGGACAAAGAAGCATGTGTTCGAAACATGGGGCTGGAGGAGAGCTTTGTGCATGCCCAGGAGTGACAGGAGGACAGACAAGGGGGTCCTAGATCAAGTCAAGCCAGAGCTTTCCCTAGGAGCAAAAACGACACAACTGAGGATGCAGTACTTGGGACACATCGTGGGAAGGCAAGACTCCCTGGAGGAGAGAATCATGTTAGGGGCGGTTGAAGCAAAAGACAAACAGGAAGACCAAATATGGGATGAATTGAATCCATAAAGGAAACCACGGCCTTGAACTTGAGCATCGGTGTAGGACACAATGGCTCGGGGACACAGGGAATTGTAGGACTTTTTCCGGATACGATGGCACCTTAAAGCTTCACAGGGTTGGGCTTTTTTGAGTTTCAGGCACAAATCTCTCCATTGCAATCTGGGACTTTGGGAGATGCCAGTTTTGGAAAGTATCCCATTTTTGTGTATTAATTATTTGGCAGGAATGGAGACCCTGTGCAGTAATAACCTATGAGTCAAATCCTAATAATAATTTCTACACCCGAATACTATATTTAACCATTAACTCCAACAGAACTCATGATGGAGGGTACTATGAGGGTGAAAGGGAGGAACTGTCAGATTACCAGGCTATACATTCAGAATTTTGAAAACCGATTGAAAGCCAGATAATCTGCTTGGCAGTTCACTCTCCCAAAATTCTTTTCAGACTGCATATATTTGCATACATGAGCCTGTGTTCCTGACACTCAGCACATTTGAGGAATTTATGTGCAAAGCAGTCCTTAGTGTCTGTAAATGGAGTTCCGTTGACAGTTTGTAAGCGGATGAGTCTTTTTCTTGCAGGCGCTCTCTCCTGGTGGGCCTTCAGTCTTTCTCTTGGTCTTATGTGTGTGAATGGAAGAGGGAGAAATCACACGTGCCATTCTCTCCCAGCAGCTTAGCTGCCTGTTCCCTCTGTCCTGCTGTATGTACGTCTTCCAACAGTCTCCTTCATTTTCTCTCTCTGCCTCTCTTTTCCACCCTTCAGCCTTTTCTGCAAACTGGCAGCCCTGGTCAGACACCGGGTCTCCCTCTTTGGTAAGCAGCTCTCCTCCTCTGCTCTGTTCCAGTAGGGCGGGAACCTCCGCATTTTTCGTTCCTCTGCTCTCCATCCCTTTTCCCTGGCATTCTTCGGGTGGGGCTTCGGGGTGCCACCAACTGGCTCCGCATCCTTCTTCCCTCACCCTGTGCGACCTTTCCTGTGGCTTGCCTTCCGAGTGCGATGCTGTATTTCTCTCGTCCAGTGCCCCCATGCCTTGTTTCCTAACCCGGCCCTTAAACAAAGATGTTCTGTCGCCCTCCAGGCACCGATGCCGCGGCTGTGGTTAACTGCCTGCATATCCTTGCTCGCTCTTTGGATGCCAGGTAAGACGCCTTGCTCAGTCTCTTCCAAATGATCTCCTGCTGCCTGCAGAGGAGAGCTATTCTGATGAGTATGCCCAGATCACTTCCTCTCCTGTGTTTGATACCGGCATCAGAATGGCAAGGGCAGGACCTTTTTGGTAGTGGCTCCATGTCCATGAAATCCTCCCAGATGGAGAATTCGTGGCCCTGTCTTCATTAATGTTCAAGGGTAAAGTCCAATCAGATTGTTCCCATGTATCGCTTTGAAGATTATAGACATCATGCGGAGGGTAGAAGGACTGTGGTCGCTTCTTATTTGGGCTGTCCAATTGAGGATCTCCAGAGCGGGAGGGAAGGAGACCGAAGTGCCACCCAGACATCTCACATCCTGGTTGCACCTGCCTGCTCTTTCCCCTCCCCGAGCCCCGGAATGGCCCCTAACGCCATCTCCAAAATCACGCTTGTGCGCTTGGGGATGCGTTAAATGCTGCTCTTTCCTCTCTGCCTGCAAGGGCTCCTTGAGCACCGCCGCGAGGTTGTAGCCGTTTTCCAGCCTCACAGCGGGAGCTCCAAAGAGTCTCGCGGCAGTCTGGGCGCAGAGTAGCAGCCGCAAGACTGCGCTGTAGAGATCAGAGGAAGTCTCAAAAGCCTTCACAGTTGTTCCTTGTGAAAAATAATGAGTCCTGCAGAACTGTATGAACCTGATCAGAGAAGGGGGAAGCTTCTTCTAAGCTGGTGTCTTTAATCAAAAAGTAATAATCCATTCGGGAACTTTTTAGTTCCTCAAAAGTCGGACCCCCACCCAATGGATGGTTCCAGCTGCTTGCAGGTGTCTGACCTGCGCTTGCCTTTTTTACCTTTCTCTTTTCAGGACAGTGATGAAGTCCGGCCCGGAGATTGTGAAGGCAGGGCTGCGCTCTTTCTTTGAAGGAGCCTCTGACGACATCGAGAAGATGGTGGAGAACCTTAAGCTGGGCAAGGTGTCTCAGTCCCGCACCCAGGTCAAGGGGGTGGGCCAGAACATCACCTACACCACGGTGGCCCTCCTGCCTGTGCTCACCTCCCTCTTCGAGCACATTGCACAGCACCAGTTTGGCGACGACGTCATCTGTGAGCACTGCGGGGGCACGCGGGTGGGAGGAGCCCCGGGTCCCGGCCGGCCTCGACCTTGGCCGCCGTTAGCCACACAGGCAAGTCCTGAATGGGTCGTGGAGGCCCCTTCAAGCCCACCGCTGGGAGCGCTGCCCGGCCTTCCTGATCGAGGGCAGATCTATTTATTTATCTGGAATTTTGGTATGCCGTCCCATTCGCATAAGCCTCGGGACGGCTTCCAGCATCATAAATAAACAATCGTACAGATGAGTACATATAAAATCTGGATTCATCCTGGCTAAAAAATTTAAAACCAATATATAAATAATATTAATAATTATTAAAATATCATTGAAATAAAAAGGTCTTGGCCTGGCGCCGAAAAACATAATGATGGCACCAGGCGGACCTCTCTGGGGAGCGCATTCCGTAAGTGGGGCGCCACCACAAAGAAAGCGATGGGAGGAGAGGGTGGGTAGGAGGCTTCACAGCCAGTTGGGGGAAGCAGATCCAAAATCGCTGCCCTTCCGAGGTGAAGTGCCAGCAGGAAATGGCAGGGACCAGAGGGCCGCGTCTGACCGACGGCCAAGGGCTCTGGGAAGGAGTGACTGTGTCTTTCTGGACGTGAACCTTTCTCTCTCTGTGTCTCGCGCGCGTGTGCCCAGTGGATGACGTGCAGGTGTCCTGCTACCGAACGCTCTGCAGCATCTATTCCTTGGGCACAACCAAGAATCCCTACGTGGAGAGGTGAGCCCAAGGGCCCGAGCAGCTGGTTGGCAAGGGGGGCGTGCGGCTGGGAAGGCGGCCCCGGGGCGAACGCTGCCTGTTAGTGAAGCTCACACAGTGGGGACAATTGCGGGTGTAGGTCTGAAAGAGCTCCTTGCAGGTCCCCAGCCCTCATGGGGTGAGCAAAGCTTCACCACGGCAGCGTCACACATCCCGACCAGCGAATGAAAACCTTCTTTTTGAAAACGTGTCACGTGCCATCTGAGCTTTGGCGCACTTGCCGGTCGATCGTCCCTGTTGGTTTCAACCAGAAGAATAAAACCTTTCCACGGAGCGTGTCTCCTGGGCACTGCTCACCTGGATCTTGTGTCTGTCCTCTGCAGGCAGCGCCCACAACTTGGGGAGTGCCTGGCCCGGCTGGCGGCAGCGATGCCCGTGGCCTTCCTGGAGCCCCATATCAATGAGTACAACCCCTACTCCGTCTACACCACCAAGTCACCGAGGGAGCGAGCCAGTGAGTGGCAGCAGTGGGAGGGGGGCGGGCGGGCCAGGGCCCCCCCGTTTGCCGTGCGACTTGGCCACGCTCGGCATGCAGCCCCACTTAGGCCGCTCCCTGCCCCTTCTTGTCCTCCTCCGTGGCCTCTCCAGGCACTTCCCTTCAGACACGGGTGGGGTGTTTTAATGTGTCCCAGTATTCTTACTCAGTAACAGACACTGGGGCGCGGGGCGTAGCCCGTCTGTCCGCTCACTTCCGCACACACTTTGCAGGGGTCCCGCTGCCACTAAGAAATCGTTCATTTAAGAAAATCAAGGGCAGGAGGGGCGGCCTGCCCTGGGCATCCCTGCGCTGGGGGTGCGTTCACTGACGCCTCCCAGGATCGCATTCCAAGGGCTCCCTGCCCCCCCCCACTTTGTGTCCCAGTCCTAGGCCTGCCGAACTGCGTGGAGGAGATGTGCCCAGACATACCAGTCCTGGAGCGGCTCATGAAAGACATCAGCGGGCTGGCTGAGTCGGGGGCCCGCTACACGGAGATGCCCCACGTGATTGAGGTCACCTTGCCGATGCTTTGCAACTACCTGCCCCGCTGGTGGGAGCGGGGCCCGGAGACCCACGCCCAAGGTCCCTGGTGCACCGAGGTCACCTCTGACCACCTCAACACCTTGCTGGGCAACATCCTGAAGATCATCGTCAACAACCTGGGCATAGACGAGGCTTCGTGGATGAAGCGGCTGGCAGGTATAAGGGTCGAGGATCCGGGGAGCGCTGGGCCTGGGGCGCCTCTTCCTGTGGAGGAGGGCCCTGATCCAGCCGCAGAGGGATGCTGGTGGTAGGAGAGTGGAGCTAAGCAGAGTGGAGGGGGCACGGCCTGAACTGCCAGTGTCAAACGGAAAGCTGCCAGTGGCAAGGCAGAGCCATGCAGGGGGGGAGCCTGGCTATCTGCCCACATCTGTGGTTTGAGCCTGTTGTACCATCAGCTGCCGCTCAGCATGGCTGTGTTCAGTGGGATGCCCAAGCTAGGCCTCCGAGCGCACCGGGGCCCTTGGCCACACTCGTAAAGAGAATCCAAGGAACCGTGAGAATTCCTGGGAAACATGGGCACATCCATATAGAATTTCCTTGCCTAAGGATCTTCTGTGTCCAGTGCAGCCTCAGGCAATGTCCCAGAGGCCGGAGAAATCACTTCTAGTTTCACAGAGCAGGCGTCTAATATTTCGTGGCTAGAACCACAAGTATCTAGGCGTAGGCATTACAGTTTCCATGGTCTGAATAACTGGGCAGCCAGGCTATTCCCAAGACCTTTCAAAGACTCTGAGAAAAGGTGGAGTGGCGGCAGCGGTGCTGGAGGCCTCCCCTTGGTTCTTTTCCGTGCAGTCTTTGCCCAGCCTATCGTCAGCAAGGCCAAGCCGGAACTGCTTCGCTCCCACTTCATCCCCACTATGGAGAAGCTGAAGAAGCGCTCCGGGAAGGTGGTGGCGGAGGAGGAGCAGCTGCGGTTGGAGGCGAAGACGGAGTCAGAGGATGCTGAGCTGCTGATCCGAGATGAGTTCTCAGTGCTCTGTCGGGACCTCTATGCCCTCTACCCCCTGCTCATCCGATACGTCGACAACAACAGGTACTGCGGTTTTCCTAAGGTGGGCGTATTGCACGTGCAGTGTGGGCGTGGAACTAAATTGTGGTGCTTTCCAGGGTGTGTGGTCCCCAGGGGCATTCTCCTTGGCCAATCACAGTGTCTGGGACAGGGAATGGGGGTCCCCCAGGCCCCTCCTGGCAGTTCCCTTTGCACCTGCAGGGCCAAGTGGTTGACAGAACCAAACTCGGATGCTGAGGAGCTCTTCCGGATGGTTGGGGAGGTGTTCATCTACTGGTCCAAATCGCACGTGAGTGAGCCTTTGGGCACATTGCTTTTTGGTTGTGTGGGTGCCCACGGAGGAGTGGTCAACTTGGCTGGACTTCCTCGCATTGCTGCCCAGCTCTTCTCCGTGTTTCCAGTGCTTCACAAAGGATCCCAGGAATCACCCATCGGGCAAAGTGTCCTTGGTCATATTCTGAATGGGAAGCTTCTGGGGGAAACTGGAAACTGCAAAGAGGGAGAGGTTATCCTTTTTCATGGCTGTCTGTTTGGGCCCCAAGTAGGTGCGACAGCCCCCTTCTCGTTTAGACCAGCGGGATGCGTCCAAATCCTCTCAGCACTTCCACCACCACACCCCTGCAAAGCACATGTGCGATTGCTTGGTTTCTTTTCCATTCCGTAGAACTTCAAACGAGAAGAGCAGAACTTCGTGGTGCAGAATGAAATCAACAACATGTCCTTCCTGACGGCGGACAGCAAGAGCAAAATGTCGAAGGTGAGAGAAGCACCTGGGGGTCTTGGGCTCTGGCCTGGGTCTTCCCCTGCCCGGAGCCAGAACATTGCTCATCAAGCCACAGCCTTGGGCTTTGCTTCTACCACGAGTACTGATAAGCCCTGCGGGGAAGAACTTAAACTGTGAGACGGACAGTCCACAGCGCAAATGTCCACATGGCTTAAGTGTGGATTCCCCTAGGCAGGCCCGGATGTCTGAGTCTCTGTTTTTCCTTCTCCAAAGATCTGACATGGCTGTTGTAATGCTGGTCAGTCGTGTGGGGTTGAGTGGATTCCCTGAGTTACGGTCTGTGCAATGCTTTGAGCAAGAAGGCCCCGTGGAAATGTTTAAGTGTCATGATTGGTACCCTTTCCTTGTGGGATTCCTCCAGCGCCTTGGAGGTACACCCAGTCTGAGCTGGGCTGCAAGAGCCAGATGCTTTCCACCCAACACTTCCTCCTTCAGCCATGTCAGGTGCTCTGTGGCAGGCAGTGTTACCGGCTGCCTCTGAGAGCGGCTGTCATCCTGCCCCCTTAGCCGTGGGGGTAACTGGCTGGGAAGAGCAGTTCATTTTATACTGATAATTTTAATTTTATATTTGTAAATCAATGTATTTTTTGTATTTTTATATTTAATGGTAATTTATTATGTACTATTGTATTTCAATGTATTTTATCATGTTGTA